TTCTGGTTTCTTCTTTACTTTTATGCATTGCATGTGTAGACACCCTTATTTCTTCACGTTTATGAAATAATTATGTTGCAAACAAAACGTTACAGCATTGAAGATTGTTACTCAAATTGCATTGAAATCTTGAAAGATTCGAACTACACATTGTCCGATTGCCACTGCATTTAATTTTTTTGGCAATAAAAGCATCAGGGGGCATTCTTTCTACTGCAGTACTGCATTGAGCCAACTGCGGCTGCGGCAGACATTTTCTTATGTTAAGTCTCGTTTTGATATCGAGACTTGTCTTTTTCTGAGGTGACAACAAAGATGGCAGCGGGCTTACCTGTCAAAACTCTTGACAATTTACGCGCTCACTTTCTTGAAGATAAGAAAAACCACCTTGCACTCAATTCCTGTGTGAAATATGGTCCTGAAGAAATATTGCATTGTCGGAAAAACAACGAGCGTGTCAGTCATATATTCAATCACAAGGTTGGTCAAAGTCGGCATTGTCATCGTAGCATCTTACTATTATACAATAGTATATGATATCAAGTGATACATATATAAAAATTTTATATTATATTTATCTCCTTTTGAATACATATTTTGAAAAACAGTTTCCATCCAAATTAGCACTAGTAAGAAAGTTCTATGTCAGCTAATTTTATATCCGCCAAAAGTTCCTTCTTAATTCCAATCTTTTAAGAGCTTTTAATTTTCGCAGGTGCCTGAGGTGAAGCCAGTGACAAATCAAAAATCATCTGGCAGATGCTGGATATTTGCTTTGCTAAATGTTATCAGACAACAAAGTCAATGTATCTTCAATGTTGAAGAGCTGGAGTTTAGCCAAACACATCTTTTCTTCTTTGACAAGATTGAGAGGTCTCATTTTCTGCTCAAGACATATGCAGACCTTGCTAAAGTGGGTGAAGAGCTTGATGGCAGACTCTTGATGTTTTTATTATCAAATCCTCTTGAAGATGGCGGACAGTGGAGTATGTTGGTAAACCTTGTTGAGAAGTATGGAATTATGCCAAAGGGGTGTTTTTCAGATGCATACAGTTCAACAAACAGTAGAGCCTTTGTTTTAATGTTGAATAACAAGGTAAGAACATAGACCTTTGTTGGCATTTATTAAAGCCTTGCTCTAAGCGAAGTGGAGTTGCTCCATAAAATGATTTAATAATAATCACAAGGCAATATATGTCATATCTCTAAATGAATGCCTAAATGATATGGCAGCTAAAACATGTTTTAGAGTTGCTTCCTTTTTCGTGGATTCATTGAATGCAACTTCTTGTAAATTGCAGTGGCCTATTGTGATGTGTTGAAGTGGTTATGCCATGTTGGGGCTGGTCAACAGACAACACCCCTGTTGGAGACCAAGGGGTTAACCCCTGAAAGCTACAGCTTTTCAAGGACATCTGTTTTTAAGATACAGGAATTTCTACCATTTCAAAAATGAACACCTACATCATAATCCTAAATAAATTTAATAATAATGAAGATATTTTTTTAACAGTCTGACTGAGTCATCATGTTATGTATGTTATCAAATAGATGAAATATATACATTTGTTTAATACCTAGAGCCAAGGCTAAGGGCAAGAAGGGTTTGGGGGTTTGGGGGGTTTGGGCCTCAATTTGTGTTGTTTCCATCTTGCTGTTAGAAAGTGCTAGCGTTGTAAATTGTGCTATGAGTCCCTGCGATAAGTTATTGGTGGTAAGCATAATCTACTTGTACTGCAGCTCAGGATGTGTTTTTAACTTATGATTTTGCCAACGGACGTGTCATTGCAACCAAAGGCACATTGTCAGCTGTTACCTGTGAGCAGAAGCATTTGAGCTGCGAGAATGATGCCTATATTACATATGTAACTATAGTATAATATGCATGACTTCATTGATATTCATGTCAAAAAGGTCTGATATGCAAGCTTTTCAGCCTAGATTATTTAAGAACTTAATAACTGTGTTATAGAAAGCATCATATTAGAGTTCAATCTCAGAAATAAGAAACAATCCTGGATCCTTTATAACAATTTAATGTTGCCAAATATATGAATATTTGATAAACTATTTCAAGGTGAATGGGTACCCTGGAAAGGCAGACCCCCATACCATCCCTACTTGAGTGCCAGTCCCTCTAGTTAATAGCATACCTTGATGCACATTACTAGCATACATTGATGCTGTGCCACTGGTAAATTGGCTTGCTGTGTTGTTTCTTCCTGCTAGGTGGCTTTCTCTTTGATTGCGTCTTGTAAAGTTGCTTCTTGTAAAGGTGTTTCCTGTAAATAAAATTCCTATAAAGTGGCTTCCTGCTAAGTCAACTCCTGAAAGGATGCTTTCTGTTGAATTGCTTCTTGTAATGTTTCCTATTTTGTGTAAAGTTTCCTATCTTAGTTCCTGTAAGGTGGCTTCCTATAAGGTGGCTTCCTATAAAGTGGCTTCCTTCAGAGTGGTTTTCTTTTTAGTGGTTTCCTGTTAAGAAGTACAGTGGCTATGTTTGGCCAAGGCTGTACCCTTCTATTGAGATACATAACCCTAATTGTCAACTGAGTTGATGTATAAAGCCAGTAGCACTACTCATGTTCAGACAAGATATTTATTGAAGAACTATAATCAATCATTTTTGAATCACATTTTCCTTTTTTAGTTAAGAGAGTTTTGCTACAGATTGAAAGAGATGGTAGTGGCAGGAAAATCAGATGTGTACATTGATGGGAAAATTGATTCCATGATGCAAGAGGTGGGCTTTTTTTATTGAAGTCTGTAGAAGGGTTTTGAGCATTTAATGAAAGCAAAAATTGTCAGCTCTATGTACGTCATTATTTACATTTCAATTTCCTTGCAAATAATATGGCAATGAATGAAGCTCAAACGGGTCAATCTCAAGTCATAAAGCCATTTCCAAATTTTTTATCAACAGCATGAAATAGATAAGCCAAATATAACAATTAAAAGTAACCCTTTGACCCAGGGAAACTCTTGTTTCATATACATTGCTAATAAAACTCTTCAAAAAAGCATTCCATGTGCCATGTGCAAGCACTGGTCCATTATAGTAGTTTTCCGATATGCAAATAATGTTTGCTTTTATGTTACCTTTGCCACATCCGAGGGGCAAATCACTCCATGAAAATATCATACATCTTATGTGGGAATACTATTGTTTCATCTGAAAATCTCTTGAAGTTATTTTTTTCTTGAAAATCTTGTAGGCTTTTTACAAGAGTGAACTGCCCCTTAATCTTAAAGCTATTTGGGTGCCCTGTTTCTGTGTGTAATTTTTGGCCTTTCACAAATGCAAATGCAACGTTTAAATCGCAACTGGTTAAAAAATTCTTAACAACACTTTGTGTTGAATAAGCTATCAAGCATTTTTTACAGAATAATTTTTATTAGAATATTCAGGCCTAGAATCATCCAATTTTAAATAATTATAAGAATAATGCTAAGCCTATGCTTGTATATTTGTGTCTCATTTTTACAGCAGTTGCCTGTTTTTTATTTTGTTTGTGAAACATTTTCTTGTTCTTTAAGACTTAATGATTGTCAACAAAATTGTTGTTGTTTGATTGCCCCCTTTGCTTGACAAGATATATTTCGATAAAAAAGCCCGCAGTTTTAAAGTTTTTGCCCTTATCACGCCTAGGTTACATTCCATTCCATGTAAACTAGGGTCTATTTGTTCTGCTTAACATGCTAATCATCAATAGCAAGATGATTTTGTTATAAGATTAAGTACATTTTAGAGGGAAGGGGTTTGAGGGTTAAGCTTTACGCCGAATGTTCACCAATTTTTCATTTTGTCTTTGCCAAAGCAGAAAAAAATTTCCCTCATTTTATTTGCCCAAAACAGCAGCTGCAGCATCCTGGACCCGTCCCTAAGCCTCATAGACACGTTTATGTTGTTTTTATATAGGCACAATTAATATACTAAAATGCGTGCGGTACAATATGATGAATAAATAACGATCAATGTAAGTAAATTGTACCAGGAAATTTTTTTTAAAATAATTCAATAATATGATAATATATATGCACGTCAGAGTAAATAGCGTGTTGCTTTGTGTTTTCTTGATTCTCATATTCTAAACACTGTTTCATCCGGAGACTTTTTTATGTTCCTACTTTTTCACGTAGATATACAGAGCATCTGCAATTTGTCTTGGACTGCCACCGACTACTTTCACTTGGGAATATTACGACAAAGACAAAAAATACCACTGCCTCAAGGACATATCTCCCTACACCTTTTATCATAAGCACATCAAGCCAGTTTTCAATCTTGAGGATAAGGTAAAGCTTTTGCTTCTTTTCATTTCGACAGTGTCCGAAAAAGTGTTCATCTTCTCTCCTGAGGATACTCTAAAGTTTTAAACGAAACATGGCGTAGTTTGAGCGTTGAGTTTTGTTTTCTTTTTTAATAGCTTTTTGCATAATCACCCCCTTGTTGTCTGGGCTCTGTCTACAATTCTATTTCTCAAAACATTTAAATGTCGATACCTGATGGAAAAATTGGGCTGCGGTGCTATTCAGATGTGGTTTATTATTCGTGGTTGTTTTTCTTTGGAAACAGTTTTGAATTTGGTGATCGAATTAAGATTTCCGTTTTGCACCATGTTTTAAGGAGGAAGAAACCTACGTTCATGATTTTGAACAACATGCAAGTTAAAGAACAACGTTTCACCTTGCAATCGTTTCACAAATAGATGATGTGGTTCTATCGAGGTTACCGTCTTATATTCCAAATATATGATTCAGCCACAGGTCCTTCTAGATGTCAAAGGGCATCAGATAAATGGAAGCGAAAATTTTTATTACGTAGGGGAATATATATCATGCACACAGAAAATTAGAATTCAGTGGTGTACAATGACATGAGACAGACTGGGGGCATTGGGGCGCTATAGGGATTCCACAGGCATGTATCTGGAATGTTTTTAACACTGAGCTGCTTTGAGTCAAAATTTCTGGGATCCTTTTCCTAACATAATTAAATAATAATCCACTGTAAGTGCAATAGTCCAACGATGCAGGAGATTCTCAAGGCTAATGCATAACCGGCATGCTTTGCGTAGCATCAATATTTCCAATATTTATAAATGATAAATAGAAGCTTCAGGATTTTGTGTTTTGTTTCCATATTGAAGTTAACATCATTCGTTTTGTTCAGATTTGTCTTGTAAACGATCCAAGGCCAAAACATCAATTTGGTAAAGTTTACACTGTAGATTACCTCAATAACATGGTTGCTGGCAGACCGGTCGTGTATATAAACCAGCCTATAGAGGTACTGCGAACTGCTGCTATACGATCATTGAAAAACGACGAGGTATGTCAAATACCTTTTCTATAGATATTTTATTGATAAATGAATTACGTTTCTACAATATACAAATGAGGTGAAAAAGCGTCTTGTCGGGTTTTGCTGTAGCTTCGAGGCTCCTATCTACCAACTGCGCTTTGCAGCGTACATAGCAAGTACCTTGAATTTGGTAGTCTCGCATCTCAACTTTTCCCCAACATTTCTGCTGCCACGGTTGCTCGTTTCTTTCAATAACTGTTATAAACCCTTTTGAACGAGACAAGCGGTCAGGCGCTTACCTAACAAGCCAGGTCAAGCAAACTATCGATTTAAACTTGATGTTATATTCAATTTTTGCAAAATATTGATAGTGCTATCAAAGACTTTTATGAAATTTGATGTGTTTTAGCCTGTTTGGTTTGGTTGTGATGTTGGCAAGAACCTTGTAAACAAAAAAGGTGCAATGGATTTGAGTGTGTAAGAGCCTTATGTGTTTTTGAAATCTACTTCCAGTTAAAAAGACCTTTGATTGAGCTCCCTGTCAAATGAACACTAAATTGCAGTTGGGGTTCCTTTAATGGGAAGCCAGTCTACCCCCGAACCTAACCAATATTCTAAAGGACTGAGCAGGCACTTTAATCTATCGTACCAGTAACAGTGGAAAAAGTAATGCAATGACGAATTGTATTGGCGATACATTGAAAATAATACCAGAAGAAGAAAAGAATTAAGAAGGGCTGTACCAAAGACACATAGATGAAGTAATTATTATTCGCATTTACTGTGTTTCTTAAAAGAAAAAGCACTTTTCCGAAACCTGTGTAACGGCTTTGGTTTTTGCTGGATTTTTCTTTGATTGATTGGGCAGTATAGACTCATGTTCCTGTTCTGTGCTTCCTGCATACCAAGCTATTTATCAGCAAGAAAAGACCTAAACAACGTAATATGTTTGATTGGTAAGAAGGAAAAAATAGCTTTGAGTAGATGAACACTCCTCCTTACTGCTGTGAGCTACCCTACTTCTATTGCATTACTTAAAAAAGTATTGAAGAGCTTTTGTTTATGTATTTATTAACGTCTTTCAAATACTGCTCCTGCTGAAAAATCTAAGGGATATCAACTTTTCAATCTCAAATTTTATGTTGTAAGATTACTTGCAAAGTTTACGTACTTACTTTTTGACTCCGTTTATGTTGACTCGGCGTCTTGTTCCAATATTAAATATATAATAATATGATTCCAGGCATGATCACGATTTGGTGTTCGGCTTCTCAATGCTCGGTCTTAGCAAAGGAGAAAGACTTCTCGCTGGTGCAACTATGATGACGCATGCTATGGTGTTTAGTGGTGTGCATATAGAGGTTCGTGGCCTACTCATTTGGAAGCATCGATAGTTTTGTACTAGGGCGGTGTCAGTGTAAAAGTCAAGGACATGACCTGTTCCCAGATTTTTTTCGGTTGAGTGAAATGATTCTAGCACACCCTTACCTTTTACATTTTTCATCGGATTTGATGAATTAGAGAAATGGTCCAATAAAATTGTGATTGGCATATCTGCCTCAGTCTAAGCCGTTGCCATAGGCGTAGGAGAGCTGCAGCTCCCCCTCCCCCTTATTAGGCAAATTATATCACCCATTATGGCAATTCTGTCTGAATTCCCCCCAAGCACTTTGTATCCGCTATGCCAATGACTGTGACACCGTTCCATGCCTGTTGCACCGATTTCAAATGGCCTCTAAAATAAAACATTTCATAAAGTTTTCTGATTTTGGTTATAATTCTTCTTTCCATGCTATAGGAGGAATCAGAGGAGAGAAAAGAAGAGATAAGTGAAGCACCATGCAAAGTCTCAAGGTGGAGAGTGGAAAACTCATGGGGAGAGGAGTCTGGAAACAAAGGCTATTACGTAATGACGGATGAATGGTTTGATGAGCATTTGCTAGAAGTGGTCGTAGACAAAAAGTATCTTTCAGATGACGTCATCGAACTACTTAAGCAAGATCCTATAGTACTGCCAGCTTGGGATCCGATGGGATCCTTGGCCTAAACTTAATCATACATCAATTTTTTTCGCTGTTGAACTTCTTGAAATTAAATTTGCTTTGATATCATATTTTTTTAACAGTAGAAAACTATATGAATCAATGAAATTTACCCGAATGGTTAGATGTTATGAAAACAGTATTCTGATTCCGAGAGAAGCAACATTCCGAATTACCGAGCAGTTCAAAAAGATATGTTATTACTGATGTTACTAGGTATCTGTTGAAAATCATGCTTTTCATAGCAGATGTATCACATCCTGCAATATGTATGCAAACGAGGAAAAAATTGTCTATGCAGACTGATACTAGCAGGCGTTTGTTTTCTAAATAAGTTTTACTTTCTATGCACGAGTAAAAGATTTTCCTAATGTCACATTAATTTCATAAGAATCATGATTCTGTTTTTGTTGCAATTCAGAGCAGTTTTTACAAAAGCGTTTCATATTGTAAGCATTTAATGACAAAAATTTGCACACCTTCCGTCCCAAGCTATCATTGTTGCATTGTGAAGTTTTGAGATTGTGTTGCACTATTGCAAGAAATAAGTATCGTCCATCATGTAGGAAACAAATTTTTCAGTTTCAGATCTGATGCGTTTCTTATTAAATAAGATCAACTTCAAATCAGCGTATGTTTCTTACTAGAAATATTGTGCTTTCGATCAAGTACTCAGATATGAGCTGTTTGGTTACAAGCCAAAAAGTGCAAAAGATGAATCTTAAGGATATCAAAAATATATACATTTTAGGTAACAGGCAAAAGCAAAAAGTGTTGTACAACAATTTCTATAATTTGTAGAGGTTTTGATACAAGGTTTTCAAATAAAAGATAATCCCTTTCTATGCCAGCTTCATATAAAATTTGGTATTTTTTTATATCAGGCATCAAATAGAAGTAATAAGGTACATTTCAATCATTGTGTGTTATAATAAACCTTTTATCAAACATTAAGTACCTATGATGAATAAAAATATTTTTGACAAAAAAAGGTTTGTTTCTATGACCCTAGAACTTTTACATTACATTTACCATTCAGAGACTGTGAGGAAACCAGGGTCGACTTTGAGTACTGCAGTTTCTTGACGCTTTGGCGAATTCCAATACTATGCTGCCATTAAATCTTAACATTTGAAGTCTTTTATTTAAATTTTTACACTAGGAAATTTTGTTAAAGAATATTTTTGTCGCAGCTGCCAACAAAGATGATTGTCATATTTCACGAGAAAATGATAGACATTCCCTACATCCCCCCTCCTCACCTCCGATGAAGACAGATACACCTTGTCTCGTTCTGAATTTATTACCCAGAATGCTTCACGGTAAACTTCTTCTCGACTTTCAATTATGGCGGGAAATAGTGCAAGACTCAACGAAGAGGTCGAAATGGTCGAATTGGTATCCTATGATTAAATCTGAGAAATAACACAAGTTCTGATCTCTCTCTTCATTCAGTCAATGCAATATGTTTCTTTGACGTAATAGATGTCCAAGGCATAATCATGGCACAGTCGAGCCTACGCGAAAAGTTCAAGTTGCTTCGGCAGTGGCAAATGCAACAGCAGGATGTGTTTAGAAAAAAGACCCAGGAAGATGCCGCCATTTTTCAGAGAACAGCAAATTCAGTTGATAATAGCTATGTACAGGACAATGATGATATTATTGGGGATGATCCGAACAGAAGTCACGGTTATGAAGAACTTTCGTCAGTTGAACTGAAGGAAAATTCTAATCCAAACGAATCAAGATTCCTCCAAAGAATGACTTCAAATTCATTACAGCAAGCTCTGTTACTTGCTATGAATCAGCTTGGACCTAAAAATGAAAATTCAAACGATGCAGATTCTACTAACCACAGCATAAGTAAAAAATCAATGGGTTACAACGACTGTGATGATGATAAGAGTAGGAATGAGGAAAGCAATGAAGATGATAATCATGTTGATGTTGTTGTTGATGATAATTTTAATGATGAAAATGACAATGAGGGTGATATTGGTGCTAACTATTTTCAAGATAACTTAGAGACAAGCTTGCTAAAGACTGCAATTTTCAAACCTAAAATTGACCAATCTTTTTGCCAAGACTTGCTATCTTCAGATATTGAATCAGGACAGGAAGATGAACAAAATGAAATGGATGGATTTTATCCAATAAGTTATTCAGAAGATAATTTTTCAGAAAAAAGTGCTGAAGTTGATGTCTATACAGATGAAAGCCAAGAAGATCTTGAATATCCCCATCAAAATATTGTGAGTTGTTTATGAAAACCTCATTTTCTCAATATTGGCTTAACAAGGTGAGTTCTAAGGATAGGAACCATGTATGTTAATTTCAGAGACCTTTCTGGGTGGTGTTGTCCTTTTGCCTTGAACAACTCCTATACACAGAGCATGCTATAATCTACTTAGTCTAACACAATGATCAATAAAAAGGTTATGTTAACCATTTTAAAAAAATACAAATATCACTGAAAATAATAAGCGGTTTACAAAATACTGCTAATAATCATGTACATAATAATCATGTACCTGAAATAAGTCAATTTTTGCCTACTTTTTGAAGACAGTATCAAAGATGAACTAAATCACCAATATTCCAAACCAATGCTTCTTGAATTAAGCAAAAACTATTTTTTGTCTTGCCTTGTGTTCTCATTACCTTGGCATCTACTCACCATCAGGTGTGAGAATGGCTCAGTGGTTGGGGTTGCTGACTACAGACCCAAGAGTTTGTGGTTTCAGTCCCTGCATAACCAAACCTTTTCTCAAATTGAGGAAAGTCACAAGCTCTAGATGATTTCAGATCACAATGTGTGGTCACGATGAGAGGAAGCACCAGTACACTGCTTGATAAGCATAGCTTTTCAGTGTCTTGGAACAATTTTTGGAAGCCAGGTAGCAAACAATAAAATGGATCACATTTTTATTTTTTATTTTGTAGGACTCTAGGAGGATTCCTTTTGAAGAGCAACCAATTCAATCAAAACTAGGTTTGTATTGCCAATCAAATACTCATTTCCAGAAAAATATAGTATATATCAGAATACAACGAGCCTACATTTCAAATTTAGGATGCATTTTAAAAATTGGTTGAAAAAAATAGACCAAACCTAAAATTAAATATTGTAAACATAGCATGATAGTACAATGCCTAGATACAACATGGCAATTTTTGTAGCCAACTTTGTACAAACACTCTTGATTGAAAAGACTTTGCTAGTGAGAAGAAAAAACCTCTTTTTTGAAATTCTATCCAGTCACCCAGTGTTTCTGGGATCAAGCTAGGAGATCAGGCAAGCACCGTACCTTCAATTTTTTTAAGGTTTGATAATGACCTTCTGTGGTTTGGAATGTGATGTTTACGGATCATATTTAAATGTATTTTATTTTATACAGGTACTGATGATGCAATAACGTTTGAAGATTTGATAGACAGACAACTGAAGGCTGAAAATGAGAAGTTTAAGGCCAAGCCGCAGGAAAATTTGATTTTGACCAGTCATGGAAGTAAAAAAACTTTTTTAAAGAAAGGTGAAGGCACAGCAAGATTTAAGACAATTACTTCACTTGGAAACCAGTATCCACTTGTTGAAAAAGGCAAGAAAACAGCTACTGTACCAAAGTCAGCACTGAAACTCAAACAGGATAAACGAGCTGTTACTCAGAAATCAACATTATCATCAGAGAAGGAGGTGAAATAGATTATATTTGTTTAAAGTACCAAATGTGAAAGAGGGAAAATTTAGTTTTAAGATACTTTGCCTTCAGGTATTACTGGTTAGCAAACAACTTTAGATTCTTTGGTAGCTTTCTTTGAAGTCATGTTGCAATGTTTTCCTTGTCTAAGAAGCAACTTCTAGATTTTGCTTATATGCAGCGTGGATCAGGTGCGAGATGGTTGAAGAATAAACACTAAATTTTCTAATGTTGATTGCATTCAATCAATCTATTCCTCCTTGGCTGTCTTTTTTCAGATTATTTTAACCATACTGCTTGCTTCTAGAGTCTGATAAAATTCCCATTATTCCTATAAATTAAGACCTGTACCTGCCAATTAGCAGGCTTTGCAACTAACTTTTAGCAAATATTTTACCTAAGTTCTTTTACAATTGATCTTAAATAAAAAATAAAGCAATGTTTTTGCATCAGAATGTGTTTTGTCAAATTTGCATCAGAATGAGTGTTGCCTTTCCAGGGGGTTTATGTTTATAAGCAAGGTTTCAGAATTTGAAAGATGTCCCTGGCTCATCATCCTACCACAAATACCCTGCAAGTCTGCGCCTTTTTGTTTTGACATTGCAGATTTAGAATTTTATAAACCTGAACCAGCAGCAACTTCAGCATTCTGATGAGCATTATACTGCAGTTTCTCAGATCTTTATCTTAATTACTTGAATCTAAATTCTACTTTTCATGACATCTTGGCTCAATATTCAACACATACCGTAATGCCTCGAACAAGCGCCCCCCTCAAATTAGAGCCCCCCTTGAATAAGCACCCATTAATAAGTTGTTGAATAAGCGCTCCCCTCAAATTTTCAACGAAACCATTATTGGAAGGCAATTCAACAAGAAAGATTAACAAACAACACATTTTGCACCCAAATCTACTTTTTAAATAAGCGCCTCCCACGAATAAGCGCCCACCCTGGAGCCTCAAAAATTGAATAAGCGCCCGGGTGCTTATTCGAGGCATTACGGTATTTTATCTCGATCTTTTAAGTAAGATCTTGATTTCTCGAACATAAAGACTTGGGTTTTACATATAAAAAGCACCTTACCTAATTACCATATTGTAAATCAGATTGAATATTCTACTTTTCCAGTATACAGATTTACAAGAGGAAACAAATGAAAAAGAGATTCAAGCAGTGTCACCAGAGAGTCGAGTTCAGGGTAGAGCTAAGGAAAAGATGATTACTTCCAATGCTTTTCATACTGGAAAATCAAATGGACCTTTAGATTCAAAGTGAGGGAAACCTTTTTTATAAATGATGGGTACCATCTCTGCCAACAGTTTTTGTTTTTTTGCTGATTAATTAATGATACCGGCTATCCTCTATAGTTGTGAAAACAGTTATTTGGCCAACTTCAGAAAATTAACACTCTTTATATAAAAATATACCCTTAGGTTTTAAAAACCACATTAATTGTTACCAGATTAGCAATGTGTAGTACAATTGAAGCTTTAAATTCCTTTTAATTTCATATTACTTTTTGTATGAAAGCATAGATACTGTAGGCTAGAAAACTTGTACATCTTCTCTGTGGCTGCTTGATAAAACACACTTATTTTATAGTTTAAATTCACCTTGTAACTCATTGAAGTTTGTTAATGACATGTAGCTTCCCCATAATTGCGCTGCTTCTTAAAATGTATTCTTTGTTTGCATTACAGTTTTTCCTTTTGCAGAAAGGCTTTTGCAAGACCGCAAACGCAGGACGTGAAAACAATCGATTCAAGTATTGAAGCTTCGTTTCAGAAGTTGATAGAAGCTAAAGACGCCGAAGAAATGGTAGGCATTGTTTTAACTGATGACGTAGAAATAACGATTTTACAACCAACATGACTTGTGCTGTTTCAGTTCTCATCCTGCAATCTTTGAACTTGAAGACTTTGAAAAAATGCGGTTCTTAGATCATACTAAAGTTTACTATGCTTTTCTATTCACCCATTTAATATTATTGCTGCCAGAGTGGTATAGCCTGGACCCAGGTCCTCCTGTAGCGGCAATTTCGTGTGACCGTTTTAATAGCATTTTGTTGCAAGTGGACATACTTTTTAAAGATCTTTATCTCCATGTACGAAATAATAAGTGGATATATTACTAGGATTACAGACGTTAAAGAAGACTTCAGTAGAGGCGTATAGGTACATAATTACGAGAAACAGGATAACTTAATATAACTACCCAATTTCACGATAGCACAGTCCATTAAATAGGAGCCTTCTCATGGGACGAAAATATTATCGATTATTATCATTTGATCAATGGAAGCTAATAAAAAAGCTTTAAATCGCTCATTTCCTTTGCAATCTTGTTGCTTATCTATCACTTGTATGTAATTAGCATTCCCTTTCTTATCACTTTTACTGTTACTGTTCACACCATTGCTGTTTTGTTCAGATTGCAGAAGAAGAGTTAGCAGAGTTCGAACTTCTTGAACAAGTGGCACTGGACACGTCCCTTTCTTCTAACGCATCATCAATGCTTCGTCGCGTATCGCAGAAGTCGGCTAGTGCTAAAAATATCACTTCCAGCCCTGTTCAGAAAGGAACAGACCATCATGGTAGGCGTTACTATGTATTTTATTAGAAAACGAGATGTGTTTGGTTCTTACAAGATAACACGACAATACAAGAGGATCACGTTGTCAGTGACCGTCGATAGGTTTAGTTCTTTATTCACAACTCGCATCATAATCAAGATTACTATTTACTGGTTAATTAGAAAACGCTCCCTGCTGTAGAGGTAGAGCTGTGCACGCTTTGGTGTATAGCACAGGACGATCTCAATTCGCAGTCATCATTAGGCAACTGCAGTAAAAACCCGCGTGTAAGAACCTAAGGGTTTAAGGATCTTCTGACAGAAATTTGTTTTTTTAATACACCAAAATATAAGAACCTGTGTGGCCAAACAACTTCCAACCAGTTCTTATATGTTTGGTTCAACTTTTTGATTTATATACTGTTTCTATAAAAATCCAAAATGTTGACAACAAATTGAAGTGAAGAAATTGTTAAAGTGAAACTCAAGATGCACAATGTATGTTAAATTAAAAAATATTTTACATACAATACTGTATAATGAATCAATTGTTGGAGGGATTTTGGCAATGTTGGTACACTAATAAATATTCAGAATGAAGGACATACCAGATTTGATACCATTTTCTGATAATCAAAAACAATATATATACTCTGTAGGAATTAAAAATCTAACTAAGAACCCATTTAACTGTCAATAGGTACCCCATGATACAAAAACCTGTCTTGCCAAACTCTGAAAAAAGTGGCTTCTTACACGCAAACTCTTACTGTGTCCGCTTTGTACACAAAGAAGCTGCTAGAAATAGAAACTCCATTTTTTTAAACATATGATAAATAACAAAATCTATATAAACAGTTTGAATATCCCTGTCCTTTTAGTTCTAGCATCTAGAAAGGAGAAAACCGTACAGCCTCAGAGAAGTGCATCTTTCACCGACATTTCCGAAGAGGACGCGAATGACACTGCAGATAGTGACAGTTATTCGTCATTTGGCGGAGACGCCAATACCAGAACAGTAGTACCAAATAACGAGTCGTATTTTGAAGGTTTGTTGTGCTTGTTTCAATCTGGGGAGATTCTGAAATTGTAGTTCTACTTTAATTTGTGTCATGATTTTGAAAAGTGAAAATGTTTTTTACAGATGAAAATGATGTCATGAAGGATGGATTTGGTGACGATACGGAGTGGACAGATCAAAACACTGACCACGCTGATGAAGAAAACTCAACATTAACAGAGGACGTGACTATTATCGAGCAGGAGAAAGATATGTTCCAGAATTTGCATTCTTCACCTCCGACATCAAAACTTATGAAGGCATTCTTTCCGCAGCTGAAAGAAAGCGAGGTATAATTTATTTTGTATATTGTTTAGTTTATTTTTATTTTTGTATAGATTATTTCGAATTTGTAAAGTTTATTTTGAATTTATAAATGGTCGTTACATATGAAATCAACACAGTTAGAAAATCTCATGTTCTCCGATATCAATGGAACTTGATGGACCAATTTAGTAATTTTAAGCAAAAACTTAATTTTTAGAGTGGTCTTTTGGTATGAGAAGCTTACTTTATGGTGAGAGCTAACCTTATGATTGTTTTTCAATAGGGGGCTTTCTTATGGGAATTTTCCAGTAGAGAGCTTAATTAATGAGTATTTTCATACATAATTTAATCATTTTTATGTAAGTTTTCCTTTGATTTGTACGGCACCCCTTCCACCTTTTTTTATCGTTTGGTTGGCAGAATCCAAGAGTATTGAGTAAGTACTTTCAATTGAAAGTAAGTATTTCTATATTTATGTGGCTAGATTTGGCCATATGCCTTACAAGTCAGGAGGATCGTGGTACACCTCTAACTATAATTGTTGAGCATTTCAGGCATCGAAACAAATGAAAATGCCAGCAAAAGAGGCCAGTGCAAGGAGAGGACTCTCAGAGAGAGGCAACACACAGGTGCTCAATGAAAAGGAAAACAGCCCACCTCTGACACAGCATGATCTTCTGAAGACGAAACTCTCAGAGTTAGATACAGAAATTTCACGATTCAAAAGCGAAAATCTTCAGCTGGAAAAGCTTCGTATTGATAGAGAAAAGGTGGGTGCAACAGGACAGTTGAGGGGGCTCTGAGTGTTACAAAAAATGTATTTTTTGCAATGAAAACATACAAGTAAGATATGTGCATATCCACAGCATGTTTATTTGCTGCTTGTATCTCCAGCAGACTTTAATATTTTTACTGATGCTAATGTTTAAAGACTCTAATCTAATTTAAAACTGAAATCTTACTTTTTATCGTACATGGAGCTCAATTTTAAATTATTGACTCCAAACCTAATTTTTTCAATGTGGTGATTCCCTGGGTGAGGTAATAATTAAACAAACCTGGCAACAATGCTTTGCGGTATTTTTGTATTTCTTACTTCTATCTTGCTTATTGCGTTAATTAAGTTAAGTCTTGATTGTCACAGACCGTCCTTTTTTGACAAGAACTATGCTTAGGTGTGAAATTATAGTACCATTCTTTAAAAAGGAACTGAAAAACTTGCAAGAAGAAGTCGAGGAGTTTAAGAAAAAAAGGTCAGACGAGCTCGAACGAATTGAAAGATTTAGAACAGAAGAAATTCAGAAACTGAAGTAAGTTGAAAATCGTGATTATGTAAGAAACTTGAGTAGGTTTTCCTTTTAATGTATACCTTTAGTGAATGGCTGTGTTTTAAATTGGCAGAATTTACTATCAGTTTTCTACAACCAGGGCCGTCGTTAGCTATTGTGCCCTAAGGAGGGGGTAGGGCGTTCCAATCCCATTTACCGACAAAGTTGGTGAAACATACTTTATTTGTCGATGAATCTGAAAATTTGCCAACGTAACCCCTCTAGATGGTAAAAAACTCTTCACTTTTAAAATGAATTTTTTCCAAGGGGGTGCCATCCCCCACCCACCCCCGTAGCGATGGCCCTGTCCATAATGCTCAGTTGTTAACGTTTTGCTTTCTTTAATCTTTGCTTTTCAAAACTAGCAAATATTCCATCAAAGTGTCCCAGTCAGGCCTAGTCAATTTTTATTTGATTTTGACTTAGAAACCGAGTTAAATCAAGAAATTTCTTGGACCAGGCTATTGGGCAATTTTTCACGATTTTTTGCAAAATTATGAAAGCTCTTTATTTCCTGCAGGCGTGAGAAAAAGTTGTTTGAAAAATATCAGAAGTCAGTTCGATCTGCACCCAGCAAGAAAGAACGGGATGAAATAGAAGCATTGAAATTGCAGGTTATCTTTATTCTACATATTTTAAAGCACTGTATTTCAATGTGTAGTCTTAGCAGTGATGTAAGTCCTTGTCTCTGTTTGGGCACTGTCCTCGTGTGCTCTTGAACGATTTTTGTATTTCTTCATTGCCTTTGTCAACGAGAATTTGTGCCCATATTAAAAGCTAGGCTTTCGGTATCCCTAAGCTTTAGAATTTCAACTTGCAAGGATATAAGCTATCTTGGTTTCTTGCACTTGTTAGAAAGGGATGGTATCATTCCAATTTTTTAGAATTAAACGCTGTACAGAAGTTATGGTACAACTCTGTTTGTAGTACTTTTAGCGTTTTCGCTTCCTTTTTTAATCTCAATCAATGATATGATCATTAGGTAGTAATCAGTGGTAAAAATCTAAGATTTTCATTCTAAAGAGATACTTCTTCCGCAAAATCTAGCTGGCTGAGATTCAAGAAGACATAAAACGCCGTGAAAATAAATGGAATGCAGCTGCAAATAGATTTCGAAACAGGATTCAAGAATTAGAAAATCAGAATTTTGAGCTGAAGGAAAATCTAGCTCTTTTGGAGCAAGAGCGTTTGCAAAGATGGTTTAAAGAAGATCAGCATGTATGAAAATTTTGCAGCTTTTCTAACCTTTGGATTGTCTTTTTCTATTAGTTTCTGTATGTTGGTGAATTCAGCACATTTAGATGAATCATTTGTGCTCTGTATATGATCTTCTTTTTAACTGATTAAAATGCTATCATATCCTGCTAAGGTGATCTTTAAGAGGGATATGCAGTTTGGGACTCGAACTATCCTCACACCTTCTTCATGTATTCATCATATTTTCAATCTTTTGTTACTTCTTTACAGAAAGATTCTTTGAGAGAAGATGCTCCTTTAAAGCCCCCTGAAGGTTCGTGTCGATTTTTTTATCTCGCACAGATTGAAGTTTGAAAAAAACACGTGCATTATATTTGATGCTGTCGTTCTGTGGTTTCATATGTATGAATCCGTTAATCTTTTAGCCCAATATCGGTAGTCTACACCGTAGACCCTCTCTTCCAAAAGGGGGTCTACGACGTGGGCTAAATATTGGTAGAGAGGTAGTTCTTAATAGCCACCACGTTGTGTTAATCTGCTAAATCTGTGCCTGAGTTTTTGTCTTTAAGGTGAGGACTAGTGAAGACAAATAATTGATGGTCCAAGAATCCAAAAATATTTTTAAAATTGGAATCATTCAATCTTTCTGTAATGTTTGTGGGCTAGCAATGACCTATCTGTGCTAATTTCCTAATGTTTCCTTTACGTATTCTATGTGGTAGTATATTTATATTTTTTCCATAAATCATAGCCTTCATGGGAGTTATAACCATAACATCCTGGCCACTATCTGCAGCTTTCAGCATCACACTGGATCTTTAAGCTCTTTTTATCTGCTTTGTTCTTAATAGTTTAGTTTAACCACACTAATATGATAAGCCATATAAATTTCATTGGGCTTAAGTTTGAAAATTACAACTTTTTGTTTTGTAGAGCCCAAAAAGGAGATGATTAAGCAAGAAACACACGTCAATACAAAACCATTGCAGCAAAAGTATGTATGTCGGATCGTCATTGTTCTCCATCGCTACTGACAGCATCTGTTTTACATCGATTTTGACATGCTAAATAGCATTTGCTTGAGAGCCTCTGGGACAAGTGTAGTCAGTGGAATCTACATCATTCACGCGATTAAGGAAAGCGAAACAAACATAGCGATTAATCGCGATTAATTTAGATGTCTTCCTGTTAACAATTGTATTTTTCGTGATTGCAACGAAAAGTTCTTCGCGTTGGGAGCCTTTATTGCGATAATGGTACAGTGGAAAGCGGGTTTAATAAGGCATTCGTTCTATTCTCATAGTCTAGTGACCAAGAACTTTAATTAAGAACAGCAAATAACGAAATAGAACAATCCAATGTATGCCACTGTGTAGCACTCTGATGAAGCCCTGTAATCTGTATTACATATTGTTAAATTTCTACTTCATATTTTCGCATCAGATTATTCCTCTTTATCTTTTTCTGTTCTTTGCCATTTTCGCTCCTCTTACCATATCGTTGTCAATAGTATTTTCCTTTGTATTTTTGTCTCGATGCTTGTCGTATTATAATACAGCACTCGAATTTAACTCCCTTTCTTTTATTGACCTCTCAAAAAAACAATGAATGTAAACAATCATCAGCTAATCAAACTTTTTGCATTTTTAGTGTTCCAAGAAAAGTCAAGTCTATATTAAAGAGAAATGGAAGTCCCGGAAGCGGAAGTGAAAGTGGCCAACCTAATCGCAAAGTAGAAGGAATTCCAAGAAAAGATATTTCGCCTTATATGCACCCAGATGCTGCAAAGTATAACCACCTTATTTACTTGATATGAATACACATGCATAGCAAAGTTTTCTTCCTAGTGACATCGAACCGAATGAAATTCAGAAGTGCATACTTCGGTATAAGGTCATCTTAAGATCGCTGTTTCTAGTTGGGATTCAGAGTTTAACACAGAACACTCTTCAAAGTTTAAAACGTCAAAATATAGATCGTATACTCAAAGTCAGGAAATATATATAGACCCAGTCGGGCTATTTGGTGTATAGAACAGGACGGATTTAAGCAATGTACCCTTTTTTCTGATTTTTAGGTAGAAGTGCAAATGTTCTCACATCTTTTGCTCGCTTGAGTCCTCGACTGAATGAAATTCTAAACAATCTATCTTAGTCTTTTTAGTTCCCTACAAATAAACACATCGAAAGAAGCTCTTTTCGAAGCTTCGTAATGTATATGCAATCAAGATTATCATAGCCTCTAAAACATGGCCTTATGCAATAGACATCATACATTTTAGCTTCATATTTTTGGGTATAAAATCTTTCAAGCCATAACAAACCCCTAGATTTCTTAAAAACAGACTCCTGCTCTATATGAAACGCCGTTCTTAGTTATTTTACTGTTGATTATCTTGTCTTGTGTCTTGTGTGTTCAGATTTGTACTGAATATAGGCTTGTACGATAAACCTTCGATTTTCTTACAAAGTACGTAATGACGAACGATATTTTTTACCTTTTCTCTCCCCCGCAGTATCCAGTATTTTTCTCGAAGTAAATTGAGTGTCTCTCTTATGCCGTTATGAAACATCTGCGTGTGGAATCTAGTAGTACACAACAAATGGCGCCCAACGTGGGGAAATTACGTCTTGTGAAAGTATTTTGCTGATGGATGACGATCTTAAATGTTTTTGGATAAACAGCTAGTGGATAAACACTACCACAATGCCAGTGTTATTTTAAATAAATATCTTTGTGTTACTAACTTTAATTGTAAATTGTAAATCTCTTACATCTCTTAAATATTCTACATGATCTTTAATTGCAGTTGGTAAATATTTTGTTTTCTTTTGAAAGGTTTTCGGAGAAAACGTTACCCAAACTGATTCACGACGATTTCAAAAATCGTTTATCTCTTACCCCTGAAAGACAATTCACAAGCAGCGAAATATCGAAGCAAAATGATTCCCAGATCAAGCATCATGACGGAAAGGTATGTCATAACATTACGTGTCAGCATTTCCGTTTTTCAACAAATTGTGACCTTATGACAAAAGAATCTTCGAAACTTGTGCTCTTATAAAGTTTAATGCGTTTGACAACTTTGCTCGGCGAACAAGTTCTTGTTTGATATTTCTAGACATTGTTTATTGGAGTTCAAAAACTTCTCCGAACTTGTCAAATGTTCTCAGTGTTCGGTAAAATGTTTTATTCGTCTTTCCACCTTGCCAAACATTTCACCAAACAATCCAATTCGTTTGACATATGCACATGCATATTATTTAGCTTTTGCGCGAAGTCGCTCAGTACAGTTTTTGCGATGATAATGAAATAAAATTTTACGATTAAGTTTAAGCTATGGACGTGGAAACATTTTCGGAGGGAAGAAGAAGAAAACAGTTTGACGTCTCGGCGCCTAATCCACTTTCTCGTTGTTGCTCGCTGGAAATCGGCCATTTTGTTCATAATATTGTTCACATTACTAAGAATACGCTTTAAATTTGGCGCGCTTTTAATGTTTACTGACCGTTGCGATGATTTTTTGATCCGTTGATGGTATGCACTCTTTTTTTAAGAACCAGTAAATTTAAGTTCCTGGATTGTTTTTAATTTGTTCTTTAATTGGCAGGGTGTAAGCAGTGCGATTGCTGGCTTTTTCACTCTAGGGAGGTGATCAGGCCTCATTTGTCAACAAACTAATGAGACAACCTTCATTTGCCAATAAGTTTGCATATCCACCGAAAAAGCACCCACACATGGCTAAAAATCCTTGTTTTTGATATAAACGTTGTTCAAAATAGCATTCTAGAGTAGCTCAGCCTCAGCTTGTTCTTAAATTTTTTTAACTTTTGACCAATTTTGAGGCTCGTGTTCTAATAAAAAAGAGCGTATGATATAATTCTTCTCTACAATCAGCTACGTCACTACGGAATCCCATAAGAGGCGAGCGCATGCGCTACTGGTACAGTACGTATGATGTAAAACGTTGTAGCATAGACTTACCACTCAACTGCTTCTAGTTTGGAGAGAATTACCCTGACACTAATATCTTGCTAACCAAATAAACGGCTGTAAATTTGGCAAAACTATATGGCTACATTCAAATATGAAACTGTCCAGAAATTAGGTATTTATGGTAAATTTTGCCAACTAACATATTTCTTTTAACAATTGGGAACTTCTGTTGCAGGTTGAGCGAGTTCTCAGTGATGGTTCAAGAGAAATCGAATTCCCCAACGGAACCAAGAAAACAATTGACCCTGTTACTCAGAACGTAGTTGTTTCCTTTTTCAATGGTGACGTGAAGCAGATGTTCCCTGATGGCAGAACTGTGAGAAAAACTTTTTTCTATTTCCTTCACGTTCAGGTTTATTGCTTGAAACCTCTCTGGAAAGTAACTGGCGGCGATGATTTACTGTTGTAGTCTTGCAAATCCTGAGATTTTGCCGCAATATGGGATTTAAGTTGATTTTGTATCTTGGTGGAGATTAAAGACAACACAAAACACAGAGCAACAAGTGGGACATGGTTGAGAAAGGGAAAACGGCCAGCCCATGGATCCTTCCATCATGGAAGTTCCACGAAGGTCAAATTTGTATAATTAGCGTTTCGGGAAGCATTGAATGCACATCAAACTTTCTTCCGGCCTATCCTTTATTGACAACACAATTTTATATAACTTAATACGACTTTGTACATGAAAGTTGACAAATTTTGTGACCTATTTAGCATAAATCTTCATCAGGTAAAAGGAAATTTATCTTTTATTAATTTGTGAATGTTTAAGTATATTCTCTCTCTTATTCTGAACGTGCTGCAGAATCTATTGTTATGATAAACCATTCAGCGAAGTTCCGCCTAGGTACTCAAATCATTTTAAATTGCCACTTTTTTGTTTTGATTTAAGATCTATTTCTACGCCGAATCAAAAACCACTCATACCTCGTACAAAGATGGAACAGAAGTGTTTGAATTTTCAAAGTAAGCTAGCTTTTTCTTTAATTTTGTATCCGTACGTTTGTGTTTTATTTTTCGCTTAGTTTTGCATCGAATTGCCACTCTTGAGGATTTTGTCTTGTTCTTTTGCAGTTCTGTATTGCCTTGCGGGAAAATGATACTTTCTGTTGGGTTTGGCACAGTCCATTAGTTTGGCTAGGGCTTTAACAGTCAAGAAATTCAATGTTTCAAGACTATGCGAGAAAGAAAAAGCATTGTGAATTTTTCTTAAAGTGCTTCTCGTTCAAAAAGGACACAATTTTAAAACGTCTTATAATGAAAATTGTCTATCGGAAATTTGTAGCCACAAGATGGGGGAAAATTGCCAGAAGGGTGAAAGTCCATTTGAAATGCACTTTTCTGTCTACAAAAATCTGAAATGTTGTTATGAAACAGAGATTTTTGAACAAAATTCAGTAAAATACTACAATGCTTCGATATGAATTTCAGTGTAAATTGCTAAATGTTCTCGTTTGCCAAATTAGTATATTCTGCAACATTTCATGTTGTAATCGTTTTGTAATTTATCACCCAAGCGGTCAATCGGAGAAACATTTTACAGATGGAAGAAAGGTCATCACCTTTAACGATCAAACCGTCAAATGCATTTTTACAAATGGAGCCGAAGAGACTGTTTTTTCGGATGGAACTATTCAAAATGTTGACGTTAATGGTGAAAGAACTATTTCATTTCCAAATGGACAGCGGGAAATTCACACTGAAAGTTTCAAGGTTGGTCTAATTCATTTTCGACCAGGAGATGATTTTTTTTTCAAGATGTTTTTTTATCAAAATATTTTTAGAGCGTCCTGAGTAATCTACTTGGTTTGTGCCACTCTAACCCTGTCTTACTGCTGCCCGCTGCGTTAACAATTCAAAAGGACCACAAAACCCGCAAGCGGGAGACTAGTCAGTCAGAGAAAGATGTTTTTACTATGCTGGAAATGTTGATGTTAGGTGGTATTTCTGGCCTAAGTCTTTCAGACCAGACCCGAGTTAATAGAATGTATTCAGGCTCTTATTTGATCTTCAATATAAACATTATACAAAAAATTGAAAAGTTTATAAATCTAATTATAAATCAAATTTATAATGGGAGTCAAAATTTGGAATAAGACACCTATTGAAATCATGCAAGCCTCATCAAAACATGCTTTTGCTGAAAATTACAAACGCTGGCTAGCTTTAACTAATTTTTACTAATTTAGAATTACTGACACTTTAATGAAGCTCACCCTCTCCAAACATTAATCAAAGAAATCGTCGTAATTAATGACAATTCTTATAACATCCTAGTAAAATAACAGAACAGATTTATGTTTTTTCTTTGTTTTCCCACTTTATTTCCCCCTTCCTTATATACATATTATAATTGCAATTTATAAACTTGTTCAATTTTATGCTTTCCATTATTTTGCTGTTGTTACCGTTCTTAGTCTTCAATTCAGTTAATTAGGAATGCTCAAGAAAGCAGGGCCGTTAGCTCGATGACCATTCTTAGAGTTTTTTCTAAGGGTCCTAGACAACAAGTAGAAATGATATATGAAAGCAATTTATTATATTCCTGTTTTTCTATTAGCAATTATTGTTATTGGTTAAGATTTAGAATTAGTATGATAATCTCTTTATGTATATGTATTCATACTTTAACTTGATTTGATTTGAAAAAGAAACAACATAGACCAATATAGTAGGAAGATTCTCTCAAAAAGTTCCACCTGTCCTCTCGAGGCGTTCTCGGGACCTGGGTTGTGTTGTTTCAAATTTGACCTCAAGTTACCTCTAGTTAGGCCAGGGAAGAGAGACATGGAAACTGTTAATAGCAAATTATTTGAGTAGAGTTTGACGTTGACAAGTTTGCTCAAACTCGCGACCTTACGCGTATAGGACGAGAGCGCTGGCTTCAGGGCCAAATAATCATTATGCGATGCGTTCTTGTGTAAAGGCCAAGTTTTATTTTGATTTTGTTATTTTGAAGACTAGTGATAGCCAATCTGTGCATTGACAAGTAAAAGTGTGCAGTGATTAATAAGAATTCGGAAGGAATGCATAAGCTGTTCATCATTCATCATGTTCATCAAGAATTTTGTAGGGCAAGAAAAGGGCTAAGAAACAGTTGAACAGTAATTGTATATAATGGTATAACTTGTTATGATATGAAAATCTAAGCCAGTGAATCGAAACAAAATTGTGTACAATCTCATTAGGCTATAAATGTTCAATGTCTATTCCATGTCTACATACAGTACCCTTTACACATTGTATTTGTTTCATTTTTTATTCAAAAAATGAGGTGTGCTGCGTTAAAATTTCCTTGAAATTAAAGCTAATATACACCTGTGCCAAAAATTTTGTATATCTATGCTGTAATGAATGCCATCAACGAAAACTTGTATATTATCATCTCATTTGAATGCAACTACCAGATTGAGACTCACTGTGAAATATAACAAGGTTTTAGTATTGCAAAATTTGATGATGACATGAAACAGAGCAAATTCTTCATAATTTAGTACTTTTCGCCCGACACTCTACAGAGAATAAGACCTTCTTTACACGAGAGAAAATGGAACGGTTCCAAATATTTCATGCTTGCGTTTACACGAGAACCTTAGGACGTTTCCAAACGGCTCCGCTCCAGGGCCCCAGCATTGTTACAAGGGAGGAGTAACATGCGCAGTTGGTTTCTGTTGAAAGTCGTCTTGGACTACAAGACAGTCAAATTTGCAGCAGGATAGGATGGGGAAACTGTTCGCACAAAGTACGAAGACTTGGCAAAACGTTTGGCAGAGGTTTTCTTTATTCGATCCATTGTGAACTATCAAACCAGACATTGATTTTCTTCTTTTTTGGCGCGCAACAAGCAACAATAAACCTACAAATGTTTTGGTCTAAACCTAAACTGATAAACAAACAAGGAGACCATATTCTATTAGCCTCGATACCAGTGCATAATAGCCCCATTTCCTAAAGCCCAATCTCCAGTGAGAAAAAAAACTGCGAAATGCGAAAAAGTTCGCGCGAAATACGTCTTAGGCATGCGCTGTGATCTTTTGCTAGGATTTCTCGCGAAGAATTTCTCTGCGAAAAAAAGTTAAAATGAGTTTAACTTTTTCGCTTTTCGCTTGCGAAATCCTTCAACAGCCAATCATATTCCGTATTCTTTTGTCACGCTTCCAAACTTTACATTCCAATGTCGTGAGGTCAACAAAAGCATTCAAAGGAATTTGTCGCGTGAAGTATTTCGCAGCGAAATTTCGCAAGACTTTTTCTCACTGGAGATTGGGCTTAAGTGTTCTCATTTGGCTCAGTTCCAAGCGTTTCTGCCCGTTAACACAGGAGCCAAGCAGAACTGTTCCAAATGGAACTACTTCTGTAGCAGAGCAAAAAGAGAACGGATTGCAGGTCTCGTGTAAACGAAACGCCATTTGGAACCGTTCCATTTTCTCTCGTGTAAACAGGGTCCTTCTCGCTGAATAAACAGGAATTGTTCCTGGTTTGTTTGAACAAGTTTGTGCCCCAAACCCAGTTGAAAACCGATCACATTGCTAGAGTTGCCATGCTAAGAATATCACTATATGTAACATTTCTGGGAGAATTTGATTTGCAGATCTTTAAATCAGAAAGTATATCCTTTCTCCTTTTACATAACGGAAGACGGGAATGCCCTCAGCACTTCAATTCTTGTTCTCCATAAAGGGAAATCAGTCTTCGCCAGGCTTTTTTTAGTCAAGCTTTTATCACAAGTAGATTTGACATTCGCTCATATCTGTGTTCTGAAAGGCCTTTCTATGATCTGAGACATGTGAGTTGCACTCTATGGTTGGACTACTCTGTATGAACTCTTACCTGTAGGAGTTATAGTTTCTTTGCTTTCCGGCTGCATCTTTTTGAGCTATACTCTTTGCATTACGTTTGATGTTTTTTCGACTCATTACAGCTTATGTTCATGAAATCTGACAACGTACATGGCATTCATTTCATATTTCACATTTTACACTTAGTTAGCTTTATAATGACCTGTTATTCTTTGCAGCGGCGAGAATATCCTGATGGTACGATGAAAACAGTTTACCAAGATGGCAGGCAAGAGACCCGGTATTCTTCCGGGAGAATACGCGTAAAGGACCAATCTGGAAATATCATCATGGATACCGGACAATCTTCGTGACGTCAATGAATATTTATTGTTTTAATAGCAGGTTGTATCAAATTGGTGTATTTAGAGTGTTAAATTACTTTTATTACAATGTTAAATGATTTGAATATTTACTCAGCATTAATTGTATATGATTTTTAGGTTTTAGCTGAATTGTTTTCTTCTTTCTGTTCTCTCTGCCCGAGTTGGCTGCACCAATAATCAACCCTAGAATCAGAATCAGGAAAACATTACGGTCGCACGGCCACTGACCGGAGGAAGGTCCACGAAAAATAATAGAAGCTCCTATGAGGCTATGACACACCTAAGCCACGCTCACTTTCTATTGTTTTGTGAGGAAGGTTTGCCTTCTGGGATGTTTCTGTCTGGAGTCTGCTTAGAATACTCAGAAATTCAAAGTAAAAGTTTTATTTAAAGTTTGGCCGGTTTGATAAGAATCTTCAGTAAATGTCCGAATCAAAAATTCATTAATCAGTTGTGCGACAGCCCTGCAGCAAATTTTGTACGAAAAGATTATCTGTGGAGAAAAGTCAGCAAAGGTTCCATATGGAACAAGGGTCACCAAGCAGATAGTGGAAGAAACTCTAGTGTGATAACTTATAAGATTTTTTTTTCTGTCTGAATTACCAATTGATGGCGTTTCAAACGGACATGGTTTCTTCTTAGATAAACATTGATCAAATTTTTTTAATGATTTGTGTCCAACGACTTTCAAATTTTTACTGATGAAATTTTTACAGTTTTATTTGTTTTTAGATTTTGCAAATGATTCTGTCTCTACGGTATGTTTTTGTTGAATCAAGTCTCTACCAAATGGATATCAATTCTTGTAAAAATTCAACCAGAAAAGCTAACAAAGGTGACAAAAGGGGTGGCCTTTTTAATTTACCTTTGAGCTCAACTTTTGAACGATTAATATTTGAACGATAAATAAACGATCAGGTTTAATGCAAATTTACCAATATAAAAATGTTCTGTAACTTCAAAGGCATAGACAATATTCAAAAGTCGCCAGAGATAAGAATATAAACAATCTGTCTGCACCCTACCTCAACATATTTGCAAATAAAGCATTTCTTGACTTCTAAGAACAAGGGAATACTTCGAAGCAAGATCACTGCAGTATTTAAGGCGGGGGAGGGCTGAGTCCCCAAAATCAAGAAAACTTTTTACGAAGGAGTCATAAGTATTTTCTACCACTCCGCCTCTTTTATCCCTGTGATGAGATGGCGCGAAAGTTTCTCCAGCACGATGGATGGCGCTAATGTAAATCGTGCTTGGAAGTCAACATAGTTTTGTTTGGATTGAGAATTTTCAGAAATGAAGCGGTCGGCAGCACCTTCTGTGGCTCTCGAGCACTCGATCAAATCTACGAAGATAGGAAAATTTGCAACGCCATTTAAAGACGCTACAATCACTGCAACTGGGAGTTGTAGGGCTGGTGATAAGGAGAATGTGCAAATTGGCGATTCCGTAAAACTCTTTTATGATAGCAAAAGCCAAGGTGAGGCGATGCCTGACTTGAAAAAGTTATCATAAACTCATCAGCAGAAATGCTATACTTCTTCCCGTAGTAGCCACTTTATGCAGCAGAGTTAACTTTTTTGATCAGGCATTTCCGATTAGGCGGCCTAGGGTTAGGCCTACCTCTTGCTTTTCTAATTTTATGCCTACCTTTTATTAAAAACATTCTTTAAAATCACATAAATATGCGGCACGTTGTCTGGATTCGTTGTCTGGATTCGTTGGTGCTAATTTAAAGCAGTGAAGTAGAGCAAATCTTAAAAATTAATTGAAACGTTTTATTTTTTTCATAAACCAAACATATGATACTTTACACCAAATTTGGATAAAATTGACATCTCTACAATTTCAAATCGTATTTGAAATTTTTGTACAAAATGTACGGAAATGTTTGTGATATTTAAAGGGTTGGATCCTGTACGTATTCTGTGATTTTTGCTTGTTAAAAATTCTAGTCATTAGTTACTCAGGAAATGATGGCTTGTAAAAAGAACTGGTAGCCAAAATTTCAAAAAAAACAATCCCCTGAAATCTTCAAATGTGTTTTTAGCTAGTTATGTTGCCCTACCATCCATCTTTACTTCCATGAATGTTAACTAATTGCTCTAAGAATTTTGTTCAAATTACTGCTAGATTTCATATTTATATTCACATCAGCTAGGTGTAACTGCAAATAGAACTTACCAAAACAAAATTGGCAAGTTTTTGTAGGTTTGTGCTCCATCCAGATCTGGTGCATAATTGTTGTTTTGTTTTGATCACAAAAACATTGCAAATTAGCTAATTGGATAGGTAACAATAAGTCTTTGTGTAGTCCAACTAATGGGAAATTTCAATGCCTGGTATGCTTGGGAACATAGTGTAATGACCATTGTCAAACCGTAATCAGGTCCTTGATTGTGTCACTGTTATTATCATCTTCCATTGTCTATGTATCCACAGTAATGTAATCAACAACACTTCCCTTTTTTTGTCCCTTTTTTATGTGTATATGCCCTGAATTGTTCAGTTACAATTATTTCTAAGCAGAAACACACATCAAGCATATTCAAATAGTTTGGGATTAGACTGTCGAAAGGGAATTTTTGATTTATCATAGTATTGCCTTTGGTTTAACAATGTTGATGGCAGGTAACCTTAGATGCAAGGTAATAAAATCAGCCATGAGAAGTTTTTACAATTTTGACCCATATTGGCACCTTTTTGTCTATTTAGGCTGATTTGCCATGGCCTAGATAGAGCAAATATTTTCAATTGATCGAAAGTTATAAACATACACTTGTGTTGTTGTTGGTTTATGGCAGTAACTTGCCTTTCATGTTGATTCAAGAAAGACCGGTTATGAAGTTGTTTCTGCCCCATGGAGATGCAGAATCACCATTTTAAAAAGTGTACATATATATAACAAATAGATTAGATTAAAGCTGGTGCAAATTGTTTTGAAATATACACCCCAACTACTGCTGTCCCTACTTAAAGAAACAGGAAGGCTTGCTAATAGATGTATGCTATTTATAAGATTATATTGATACAGAAGCTCTTTGAAAAACTGTTGTTCTAGTCGCAAAAGTCTGTTCAAATGATATTACCATTAGAAAATTTAATCCTAGACCTGATGCTAACTTTTTCTGAAAAAGTTGCTTTTCAAACTGACCTCTTAACAGTCCTAATATTTTTTTTATCGAATTTTTTAGATGTTCAGACTGCCATCTCTAATGAAGATGTTAAAAGATATTTCAATGTCGTCTGGTAAGTATTAATGTTATTTGCTTTTTATTGCTTCTTCCTGCTTGCATTCATGTGCATTGAATGATATTAAGCTCCTGCAAGCCTTTTTTTGGATTTTTATCTCTAAGTTCACTTCTCCCTTTACTGATGAAGTTGTTACTTTGATTTGCATCTGCATTAGATTTACACTCATGTTCTATGAAACTTTTTACATTAAATGCTGTGAATTATTTTTTTTTGATTTCCTAGGTGCAAGGCATCAAGGAAGAAAGTAAGTAAAGATTTGTCTCTTGTTGTATAATGCGAAAACACGATTTCAATGCAATTGTTTTGAAAATCCTTTTGTAATGTCATATGATCTATCCTTTTTATTAATTGCATATATTTTTGTTGCAATGTATTTAGTAAGATTGCAGTAAGTTGAACAGTAAACATTGCAAAATATTTCATTCTGCTTTGGATAACTTTTGTTCTAAAATCAATCTGCCCTTCCTGGGAGTAAATTAGCAGAAGTGTGGCATTTGGCACCCCTAGACTGTTTTAGGCGTGCGATGGAGTGCTATTGGTGTTTTTGTCTTATTTCTACAAAGGTTTACATACTTAGTATATGGAGCCTTAAAAACGCGCATTCTTAAGTCATTTCTTCAGTTTTCACACAACTTTAACAATGAATATTTCTGGTGGCATAATGATAAAGGAAAGCTTAGGAATATAGCCAGGGATCTTTACTAAATTTGATGCTCAAAATGTTTTAGGTGCAGTTCCCAGCAATCCCTTTTGCCACCAACAATGGTAGCAATCTTCATGAAACCCTTTAAAAATGTTGATATTTTACCCCAACTTTAAAAAATGTCTCATCAAAAGGGATATGAAAGCAGTTTTGAAAACAGCAGATTTGAAAATGGCATGATTTGAAAACAATAAATACAATAAAATACGATAGAGGGAGTGTTAAGAATGTCAGTCAATTCTGGTATGTTTATTTGTAAAGAAAAACAGAAAGGTTGAAATTTAAGTGAACGTTTCAGGCTATGTTCAAAACTTTAATACAAAAACTGTCTGCTAAAGGTCATTCTCTTTCATCTGTCTTTATCATTTCATTGAATGTTACAAAATTTCATGCTCCTGGTTTAAAATAATGGACTGAACTGTTTTTAGCACAAGACCTGGGACAATGATGGTAAAGTTTCCTTTCTTTTCAACCCAATCATTTTTTATTGCTTTATTCATAAATGAAAATATGTACTTTCAATTTCAACATGCATATTTAGACACAGAATTAATGCCTTGCACAATATTGAATGTATTTTTCATATTATCCAAAAACTGCTACCAAGAAAAAGTGTTTCGTTTTTTGTTGACAATTTGAAGTAGATTCAAAGAAGACTTTAAAGAGGAAAGCACCCTGGCTTGATTAATGTTTTATTTGTGTCCTTGCTGAGACAAGTGACAACTGACACAAGCTTTTTCAATGGTTTAAAATGAAGGAAATTAAGCTTTAGGTTCCAAAAACAATGATTCTTTATTGTATGTTATCTTTCCAACCATTGGCTATGTTGTTTGCTTACAACTGCTGTCTTAATGTGGAAACATTAGATTAAAATAAAGCATGGCTTTTCTTTATCTGTTATTTTGGACTGCAGTAAACATCTGCTACAAAAAAGCAAAAATTATATGGATTGAAAACAAGTTTGTCAAAATAGTGATGATTATGAAATAGTGATGATTATGAAGTGAATTTTTTTTATTTTTTCCAGTTTGTTTTTGTTGTTTCTTTGTTAACATTGAATTTGATTATATATTTTTTTACAGGTATCCTTATTGTGAATGGCAGATTTGCTACATTGAAAGACTTGGAGGGCAAGGAGTATGTAATTCAGATACTGGTTATTGAATTCTTCTTCCCCATTGATGCCTTTTCCTTTATCTTTTGCTTATAGCCATTTTACTATGATGGATTCCATTTGATCGTAAGAAATTACTTTATTTTGCATCCTAAGCATTGGACGAACTTCAGGCTTGAAGTCATCAGAACTTGAGTCCCTGTGTGAAGGCTCCGCCTTGTCTATTGGTGGCAAAGATGTAGAGGTAATCCTTACACTCATTCATTAAAGTGGCATGGACTTTCTGTTTTTTATTTCGCAAGGAATATTCAAATGAATTTATAATGAATGCCAGGATATGAATGCTAATCATATAGATCAAGACAATATTAAGTTGCAACATTTAATGAAGGAGATTGCTCTGCCTATAATATAGGGTATAAGGCTGTATGCAACTGACCAGTAAATAATAATTTTCATTACCTGGACTCTCGTCATATGATCTGCTATTATTGGGAAAATTTTCTTAAAACCTACTGATTTTTATTTTAAAAGATTTTGAACGAATTATCGGAGGATTCTTATAAAAGTGGGCGATGTTTCAGCCAAACAATTGAAGAAACCAATTTGCCTGCCGGTAGGTCACTTACATATTTTACACATGGCCTGCATTTGAAAGGTCTCAAGACCTGTTCCGATTGGCTTGTGTATGCATAATTCAGCCGGTAGTCTAAATTCAGCCTTGGGACTTGGAAATCAGTCTTATTTCTTGTATCATACTTGCTTATTGTAATCTTTTTAGTAAATTTATCATGCAGACTCTCGGGACATTTCTTGTCGATTGTCTTAAACATCAGAACGGACTGGTCAAGTTGAAACAGATGATCGATGCTAAATGTTGGTCGAATTGAAGAGTCGTTAGAGGATAGCTCCTTTAATTTAAATTAAGTAACATCTGTTCTTAAATTTATTTTTCTATGATGACAGCAATCTTCTATGATCTTTTTAGGAAAAACGATGCTGACCTACAATGCACCATTTTCTCTTCCCCACCCTGCACTTCCTCGAAGTTCTTGCTTATCTAAGTTAGCTAAGGTATGTTTCAGCAAACGGCTGCATTACATCTTCATTGCTGCTTTACTCTATGATTTCTTTTGCGTCACATTTTGAGAATTCAATGTATTTTTCTTACTTATAGTTTTATACAAAAGGCAAACTTTATTGAAATGTCCATTCACTTTTAACAGCTTGCAAATGTGATGCGAGGAAACTTTAAAAGAATGCTAAGATATATCTCTAAGATAAACTTGGGTAGAATGCAGTGGCGAAGCTAGCCAAAAATTGTTGGTCCTGCTGTATGTACAGGGCCACGCCCTTATCCAATAGGAAACGCCCATGAACAAAAATTCTTTTTTGCAGATGAATGTTTTCTTAAATTCAGTAAAAAGCAAATTTTAAATCTTTTAAAAAATAAACCCATACATAAAGACGTGCTTTAGGGTGCTTACTTTTCAAACAAATCTATGTTAAATTGTAGTAAGCCTCTACAGCTGAAGTAAAAGTTTAAATTGGTGATAATAAAATTTGACAATAAAAGGGGGGTAGGGGTGGCATTTGAAGTTGCATATCATATATTTGTGGTAGTTGAAATAGTCTAATTAGACTATTCCAGATTTTGGTCCAGCCTAGATCAATCTAGACACTCTATTAAAATAATTTTAATAAACAACAGAGTTTAAAGTCTGTAGGGGCAAGTTCACATATTCTGCAGAACAATTATTCTGCAGCTGATAAAGAGAGGTACAATCCAATAATGTGTCGCATTATCAATGAAAACAACTTTATTAGATAAACCATTAGACGAGAAAACAATTCAGGTAGAAAAATGCAAATTCCGCTGAAATTGGTTTATTCTCCAACTCAAAACTTTCAATCACACAACAGTAAATTCAATTATGCTTTCATCGTCCTTGTCCAAGTCTAAGAAAATTTTATTTAGGCCACCATGATATACCGTGCCTCAAACGATCGTACAAAGGCCGAAATCAGAGTGCCTCATACAGCCAATTCTTGTTGTTTACATTTCTTTCTTGCGAACTTTGGACTCTGTCTTGTTACAAATAAAATTTATGCAGCTCAACTGAGGCAAGTTTTGCTGTCAATAATAATATCATTGGTATTGTCAAAGCAAGCAGAAAATCCGCATTCACATCGCCTCGCCATAATACTTGAACTGGCCTCCTTGCTAGTATCTCATAGCAGAACGAGAATGCACAGGGCAATTCTTGCAGTCCTGCTCTCAGAAATAGCAGGACCAAAGGTTTTCAAAACAATGCTCTTTGACTACGTAGGTGAACCCTCAACCAATCAAAGCACTACTGCTTACGAAATGTTATGATGATCATTTCGACGAGGTCCTGCTCCCGAGATTGAGCAGGACTGCTCTTTGTTTTAGACTATTGTGAAGCAGGACTAAATTTACAAAAGCCCATTGTGAAGCAGGACCAAACATAGGGTATCATAGTTATGAGCAGGACCAAAATACAGGGTTGCCGTAGAAAAGAACAGGACCTTGAGATTAGCACGGGATGCCTGTATCAGCTGGCGGAACTGGGGACTGTTTATCAAATGGAATTTGAAACTTCCTTTATGCAAAGAAGAAATTGTTTATTGTTTACATTAAATCTTATCTTTGGAAATTCTTGGTCCTGCTCAGCAGGACCAGCAGGACCTTTGGCTTCGCCACTGGTAGAATGCAGATAAACATAAAGCTACCCGTTTTTTGATGGACCACTAAAAATTTCAATTGAAGAGAGCATAATCTTTCAAGCAAAGAAAAGGTCCATATTGAGGTCAAAAATAGTTTAGCAATGTCAGAACTAATGTCGATATGCCTTTTATCCATACCGATCAGTGTTGTCTCATAAAAGCTATGTAAACCAATATTAAATCTTTTAATAGCACAACTGTTGGGACGAAAGCTATAGTTGTCGCTTTACATCATATCAATGTTCTTGAAAGAACAGGAAATTTTCGTTAATATTAAAATATCACGAGGGCTGGTGAAATTTGAAATGCATAGTTAAAATGCATAGCAAATGTGAAAAAAATTAGATTTATAGCCATATTGGGGCACTACCAAATCAGGGTGTGACAACATCACGTCTCTTTAAAGAAATATCATAAGGACAGAATAAAAGATGCAACGCTAAATACAAACAGACTTCTTGCCCTAGATGCTAAGGTAGCTAATATCAAAGGTGTACGGCGTTCAGACTTTTATTTCGAGTATCTTGTATCGTTTTTCGCATTGTTTTTTTGTCCTCACGAAGACCTTGCTTGTCTTTCTGATCCAAATAGCCGAAAACCATTAGACCAAGACACAACCCTGAAGCAGATGGTGCTGTAGTACTACCCAGGCCTAATTCTAACCTTCAGGTAATTTTAAATGCTTTTTCCACTTTTTTGTACGCCGAGTAGCTCCGTTTCTCGACTGGCTTACGCGTCGATTGGCTTAAAGCCTATTGTAAGTCACGTGATCTGTTTCTCAACTAGTCAACCGCCATTTCAGTAGAAGGTAGACTAATTTCCCCAGAACGAGAATTTAGCCAATTTACCACCATTCTTTTAGAAAAACAATCACCCCAGATATATTTGACGATCAAGCACTTTTAAATCGCTGAAAGGTTATTCCTTCCTTGTCTCCGTTTCGGAGCATCGTTTAAACAATTGCTTTGGTATGATTCAGATTTTTTGAAAAAGCTTATCTTAAACTAGAGATTATACGTGTCTTTTATCTCACTCTTTGAAATTGAGTTTTGAGGAAATAGAAAAACTCCCCATTCAATTTAGCAAGATTTTGAAGATTTTCTTTTATCACCCTTTTGTTTGTATCTGCCACGCACCTACCTTTAACTATCTCCCCAGTTGCTGATTAGTTTTCAAGCATTGCTTCCTTCTAATTTTTGCTGAATTTGTTTTAGTGGAAGCAAAATAAGCAGGGCTGTCCTATAGTGGATGTAGTAGTTGACCCAGTCATATCATCGCACTTACGTCCACATCAAAAGGATGGCGTCATATTCTTGTACAAATGCATTATGGGAATGGGAGAATTCAATGGCAATGGAGCCATTCTTGCGTAAGATCAAGTCTCTTTTGGAAGGTTGCTTCGTACCTTAGAGTTAACCCTTCTTAACATATTATGCTGCTATGACCATTTCGAAGGGAAATTAGCTGCAGGAGTAAGCCTTTGTTTGTATGAAGAGAAGGACAATAGCCAATTGTTTGAAACAATGGAAAGTCACTGGGGTTGGAGATGCCATTGCTAACGTAGTTTGTATGTTACAAAGGTCCTGTCTGCTGCTGTATTTGAGAGCTATCGAGTTGCTTATTGATCTTTCCCAACATTTGCTTATTTGTTGGTGGTTTATGTATTCTGATTTTAGTATTGGGCAAGAGTTTGACTACAGAGTTGTGACATTTAGAAACATTTTGTAAAGACGTTTAAAGAAAAGTTATGCATATTCAAGCATCTCGCTATTTTTGCCTCACAACTCGATATATCTGGGCAAATTTACCTCAAGAACCGAAGTACCGAGGGAATAGGTAAAATAAAAGGTCGATGTATCAACTGATTTGAAGAATTGCATCCCCTGCTCCTAGACTCTAGAAGCTCAATTTGCACTGCTGATTCGAATATGACTTCAAATAAGCCATTTTAAATGAATTATTTGAATTTCAGCGATGAAATGGGTCTTGGTAAGACCCTCCAATGCATTTCCTTAATATGGTATGTTTTTTATACGTATTTTATTTTTTATTTCCTGTTCACATGTTTATAAACTTTGTGTAGCAATTCTGTTAGGTCATTTCGAGACCTTCTATTTTTAATTTCCTAGGTTGCAATATACCATTTCAAAATATAACCAACAGAGCTGCAAAAACACTGACAGAATAATTACTCTTTAGTTTACGTAACTTGGTACAGCTGTAAAACCTTCCCTTCCCTCGAATAGGTAAAGGAAACTTAGCGGTTTTTAATATGCCCATCCGTATGGATTGATTGGTATGATTCATGAGTGAAGGCCGTGTAAAATATATTTGTGTCACGGAAAAAACATTAGTCTGCCTGTCTTAGATTCTGAAGGAACCTGATGAAGATACTTTTGAGGGATAAAATTTCAATGTTAGTATTTATGCCTATTTTGATAAAGTCATCAATATTGTTGCACTGCTCGTTGTTTAAGCATGTTCTCGGGCGATAGATAAACCTTGCTGCCTTTGATAAAATAGAAAAGGTCTATGTCAAGAATTGTTTATATGCGACTTTATGAAAGGAATGCCCACTCCCGACCATCAAATTTGCCGTACACGAAATATTGCCTGACTCAAATGCAATTCAGCATTTGTTTCATCTTCTCCCTCCTTAATACCTTCAATTTTTGGTAAACCATGAAACATCACAGAACTTCCAAGTTCCTCTAGCTCTTTTTATGTCTTCTTGAGCACACAATACTTCTCAAGCCATAACTCTTTATTCTAACCTTTGTATTCATGACTAAAGAACAAAAAGGCGTTTATCAATCTATGTACAGTCACCTTTTATGACGTCTTTATTGCCGGCCAAATAGGGAGGAATAGAAAGTGTATAAGACAACGTTTACCTTTCAGGACGCTGCTGAAGCAAGGTCCGTATTCCTCGAAACCGGTAATTAAAAGAGCTTTGGTGGTCACGCCAGGAAGTCTTGTGAAGGTAACTCCTCCACCGCTGCTTGACAAAAAACCGGGGGTGTTTGCTTGTTCATGAACGCCAGTTTTCGTCACTTGCATACCGATGCTTATATAAACCGATACCAAACTCAATGCATAAATTATCTTCTATCCCAAAACGCCCTTTTTGTGGAAAGCGCGTGCTTATGATTGAATTTCGGCCCCCCCAGCCCCCTGGTCCTCGGTGCTTGTATAGTGTTATTTGCTGAAGTCTACTCAATGCTGGATTTGTTAGATAAAACACAGATAAAATGATATAGACAAAAAGTCAGGAACCCATAGGAGATTGTCCTTTTCAAAAATGTGTAAATTAATTGTAAATATGTATTTAGATGTTTTAAAAGACGATCGAGTGCATGTATTTGTTTGATTATGCCTTGTTTTTTTCTCTCACATTGTTTTTATATCTTTAAGAACTGGTACACAGAATTTAAAAAGTGGCTTGGAAGTGAGAGGGTCAGAGTGCTTGCTGTAAGCTCTGCAAAACATATAGAGGTAGGTTGCCATTTTTGAATATAAGCCCTTTTACTACAGATTAATTGTCGATTTGATTAGACATTCTTTGACATGTGCTTACTAGCACAAGTATCATTTTGATTGTGAAAGAGATTGTTAATAGTGCTTGTGAAAGAACGCTGCAGCGACAATAATGATGGTGGGTGATGTTTATTCAAAAATGTGCTTGGTAAGCTGTGATCAAATATGGCCGTCTTTAAAGACAATCGAAATGTACAAAAGATGCTTTAGCTATCTGTCAATCAACAATTGACCAATCAGTGAGCTTGATACCACTCGCACGCGTAATGATTGGCTAATATTGGTTATCTGATAATGCATTTTTCGATTGCCTCTAAGGTAAGAAGAGTTATAGTGAAAAGTGATTGGACAATTTGCCTTTTTGGCATCCTGCCTTACATGTTTTGATGCAAGTTCAGTCCTAGTTTCAGAATTGACCTGTTAACTGTTGATATGCTAAAGTTTGATCAAGGTACCTCCTTCGCTGCCATTTCATTGCTACGTGGCGTCACGATAAGGGTACTTTTTCAGAAATTTTAAGGATATAAAGTAATAATAGGTCTGAAGGTCCAAAATGACACAATATGGAGATACGTTATATTAAATGTTCCGTTGTGGTTTGCATTCTATATGAATATTGCAAACATTATCATTTCTTAAATTTGAACATACTAAGCTTATGTCAAAAAGTGTTTTCATCAATGAAATTTTTCCAATCTCGACATAATTTTTTCTCAATGAAATCCGTTGGCTCTTTGTGATGTAAATATTTTTATGCATGTTTATTTTCTTTTGCTTGCTATATTTCTTTGTTTTAGCCCTTTTCTTCCTAAATGCAACTCTACTTCTCATTTAGGAATTTGGGAAGTCACTAATTCACCCAGTGATGGTTGTGAGTTACGAAATGCTGCTTCGCTACATATCAAAAGTAAAATGCTTTGGATTCGATCTGTTAGTTTGTGATGAAGCACACAGACTGAAGAATTTCAGTATTAAGACGTCAGCGGTATGTCAGCGTATTATACTAGCTTATTTGAATTTCAGTTGATATATTTAAATGAAGAGTGACCTGATTTTTATAGAGCACACTGTAATAACAGACATCACACTGTAACCACAGATATTTGTTTCCTCGCTTGTTAAAGATATTTTATGGAAGGAAGCAATTGGTTTGAAGAATCCATTTTCATTACAGCGAACTTGCTATAGACCTCTAAAAAGTGTTGCGTCTAAAAAAAGTCAATTTTTCAGATTTTCACCTTGGCCGCGCAACTTTAAGAACTTAAGTATGTTCATAATTTGGCAAGATGTGGCTGACGAACGATTTGAGATTTGTAACGGGTTACTGTTATTCTGGCCTGACCAAATGAACTAGACCACATGGCAGTGATGCGATTAGGACAGTGATCATATCTCGGCCAATCTGCAAAACATTTAGCTGGCTGTGCACAGTCAGACGTTTTCCGTGATGCTTTTTTAGATTATGTGATCCAAGTTTAAAAAAAATTGAAATAGGATTTTGTGACGTCATCTCTTTCGAACTCTATTTCAATCAATTTAAGATCTAACAATGACTATACATTTTAGGCGATAACCAGTCTTTGTATTGAGCGTATTATTTTGCTGACGGGGACGCCAATTCAGGTAATTCTTCATTTTACCCACCCTGTCTATTATCTGCCTTAAGCCCCGGGAAAACGACTGGATATTTTCACTGAACTGATACTGGAAAAATATCCAGCGTAAATGTTGCGTCGTTTTGCCACCTTGTCCAGTCTTGTTCAGCGATGTTGAGTTTGTTCAGTCGATTTTGAAAGCAGTCAAAAATGTTCAGTGGACAGGATTAAATTTCTTTTATTCATAGATGTTGTAGAGAAATGTTCAGTGTTTTGCCACTCTACTGAACATTGTCCAGTCCGCGCACGTGCAATTGATGTAATGGATTGGATTTAGCGCGAATTTATTTACCATATTCAAATTCAATATTAACATCCAATTCGACGAAGAACAGGAAAAGGCATTTCATTAGTAACAACGAGTCTTCTCTGAAGCGATTAGCTTTAGTTCCGATAAGGAAAACGATGACAAAGAGCACGAGTATGGTGATTGTGATGAACCTAGCAGGCCTAGCTCTTCTTCATCCGCAGTATTCCCGCGCACATTCTACCAAAGCGCAAAAGTACACTGGACAATGTTCAGTCGTTTTGCCACCACCAAGAATTTCTGGATGTCCACAAACTGGGCAAAGTGAGCAATGTCCAGTGCATGACCAGTGCAAATGTCCAGTCGTTTTGCCGGGGCTTTATGCTGGATTCGCTTCTCGACCTTTTGAAATTTTTGTAATTTTCAAATCCGCTTCTCAACCTTTTGAAATTTTTGTAATCTTAAAATTCAAATTAGGATTCAAAACTGATATTGTGAGTTCTAAATTCAAACGAGCATCTCTGCCACAAAATTATTTGATATTGCAAAACATCTATTGAGACAATCAATTTGTTTTTTCGGTATTGAAACAAACTTTGCGATGAAATATAACATTTTGCGAGTTTTCTTTGTATTTAAACCATTCTACATTACAGGGAAGATATCTGGACTGACCATTAGAGCCATCTGATTACCTGGAATCTAATTAAACTAAAACATTGAACATTATGAATTAAATTTCATAGAACGTCAATTTTGCTTCTTTGTTTAATGCTTTGTGAAGCAAGCTGTTTGCTTGTCTATATGACACTTCATGAACATTATTAACTTTTCTGTTCCACTTGTTCAACAAAGATTCAAAGATCTTACAATCCCAGCATAAGATAAAGTGAAGCAGATTGAAGGTTTTTAAGATATCCTTTTCTCAAAGATGGCAGTCCACAAGCTACAAATATAAAATTCCACAATTACTTTTTAACTTTTGAAGAATATGAAATATGAAACAAGAGTGTGAAGTTTTAGAGTTTTGAGTTGACAAAGCAAGATTTGGTTCACAGAATTTGAAAATGTATGAATTCTCAATTGACAGGCTTTTTACCATAAAATGTTTTTAAGTTTCAAAGCAGGAATTTTAAAAGTGTAAAGTTCGAGATCACAAGTTCAGGGTTATGGTGTGTAAGTTTATTGTTTGTGAAAGTAAAGAGGATGAATTCTAAGAGTGGCAAATTTCAGAGCTCAAATTTTATATTCAGAGAATTCGGTTTTAGGATGTCAAATCTGAGGCCATGCATTTTTAATTTCCAGATTTCTCTAACTCACGGCCTTTTCTTCCGTTTTAGAATGATCTAAAGGAGTTCTTCACTCTGGCGCAGCTTTGCAATCCAGGAATATTTGGTAATTTTCTAGCTTAATGTAGCTATAAGTTTTAGTTTGAGCCATAATAGTTCAACAGAACCAAGAATTCCTCGAAATTAGAGGTATTCAGAATTAAATAAACAGGTTTAAAATTGGCTGAGGTCTGATGTTGCTGCATTTTTTACTTTTAAGGTCACTTGGCCCTGCCTCAGCCATGATCCTATCGCGTTATCGCATTAAGGAACTGTTTTACATAAAATGTTTTCCAAAAATACATCCGCTGTTGGTAGGATGTTGTTAGTTTGGGCAATATAATGACTGTTATTGATCTGTTGCAGCCTCTGCTGTTGAATGCAAAATCTCCAGATGTTCAGTTCCATTTTCATCCTTTTTCAGTCATGCCCCCTAGCTAATGCATTATTTTTTGTGATCAATTCCAAAATCTTCTTGACTTTTATCTTTTCTCTCTTTTGTTGTAAGAAAGCCTTTCCTAAAGCTTCTTTTACACACCGGGGCGCTTTTTCTTTATGTCTTAATTCTTGAACTTACGATTTCTTCATTCTCTAAGTTTAGAAAAACAATTTACATATTTTGCATATCTTTATTTAGGTGTGCCTTTGAATTTTTATGCATCTATCGATGTTTTTATGTCTTCTAAATTACAAGTTGTGTTTTGTGTATATTACCAATTGAATTTTCGCATGGTCACCCAAGGGGGGGGGGGATTGACAAGGGTACTAATATATTTTTAGAATAATAGAGCTCAGGGTCTTTTTTGGATCAAGGATTTGTGCCAAAATTATTCTTCCAGGTCAGTCAATGGTAGAATTACTTTTTGAATTCATTTTTGAGGAGGGTTAGAAAAACATTTTCGGACCAGTGTTCATGCTAGAAATGATTTTTTTGGGGTTGATTGTTTGCACCCCTAGCCTTCCTTTTCTAAGCCTTTCTAAGCTTTTTATTGTACTCACGGTAAATCTATCAATAAAACATGTCGTGTGCACATTCTGGTTTATTGTCGTTCTAGGCTCATTTTTATTTTGTTAGATTTTTGTATATTTATTCTCAGGTACCTCATCATCATTTCGTCAAGTGTTTGAAAATCCAATCAACAAAAGTCAACAACCAAACTGCTCGGTTGATGATGATGAGCTTGGCAAACAGAGAGCTGCTGAGGTAAATTTAATCATTTTTATATTAGTGATTTTTAAGTATTTTACCCCATTTTCTTTTGAAATAGATGCATATTTATTCTGCCAAGGTTTATACTCTGACATCATCTACATCTTTCCTTTGCGCTCAGCTTTTCTTTTTAGCTTAAAAACAAAAAGCGAAAATAGCGGTAGCGAAGTGGCACAAAAATGTTATTTTTCGAGTGGAATTTGACAGAAAATCTCATATCCCCTTACTTTCTCTCGAGTTCTGATCATCTTAACTGATCGTATGTTTCATGAATTATGGCGCCAGAAAACCGGTATAGTTATAATCACTTTTGCTCTGATATAAGCTGTCATTAATTTGCTTGTATTTTTAATAGCTCAAATTGTGGCTGTGCACGAATAATGAGCTATTAATAAGATAATTGTAATTGTACGATCTCACCAATCCTTATCTTTATTTTCTTGATTTTGGTTTAAGCTGCCTAAGGCCATTGACACAATGAAAACAAATCTGCTGTTTTTGTGCGTTTTTACTTCAGCGAAATGAAAACTAACTAACTAAAAATCTAATGGAAAAGTATATACATATCCGATGGCTAATTACGTTAAACAAATAAGGTGGCGTAGGAAAGGAAGGGCTAGGCCAATTGTGAATATTTTATGAATTGAGTTGTAAGTAGATTTGTAGGATTCATTAGGGCCTAAACAAGACAGGAAATGTTGACATAGTGATATGTTCGTAAAGTGCAGTGATGAGGTAGTGATGTAAAAAATTTCCTGTAGGTAAAATAAAAAAAGTGAAAATGTATGGCGATAGATGAAGAAAAATTAGAATGAATGGAGTCATTACATATTCAGATTCCTATTGTAGATCATTCTACTTTTGAAAACTTGATGGGGATTCTTAAAGTTCTAGATAAAGTTGAAAAAGAAATAATTTTGATTAGTGACACCAACTGTGACTTGAAATGCGCACAAATGCGAATGCTAAAAAGCTTAAACTGATTTACTCTGAGTACCAACTCGAACAACTGATTAAGAGTTTTACACGGGTTGCTATGACAATCACTGAATCTGGCGAGCAAATCGTAACTAAGACGCTCATTGACCATTTCTTCCTCCTGTCCAAAATATATTCTAGAGGCAGATGTAGTAAAGACCGGGATGATTGGCCACTATCTGATTTATGGTTTACGGAAAATAAATCCTTGGAGGCGCAAAAGAAATAAGCAAAAAGTTGTCGAGTCTCGCAACATGAAAAAATATGGTAAAATGCTATTCCGTAAGGACCTAGACCAGATTGACTGGGCAAATATCCTTAGTCCATTTGATAATGATCGTGTTGGTATGGCAGCTACGTTTCAGGAGATTTTCGAATCAATCCCAAATCTCCATGCATCAGTAAGGAAGAAGAGGGTTCGTAGCCAATTTGCTCCCTGGTTCTCCATTTCTCTCAAAAATCTAATGATAAAAAGGGATTTACTAAAACAAAGAGCTGAGAAATCACCTGAAAAAAGGTTCTGCTTATAAGTGATTGCATAACCAAGTAACAAGAGAGATGCGCAGCGCAATAACAGGTTATTATCACGGCCTAATCAATGAAAATGTAGGAAATCCAAAGAAAATGTGGAATACCATGAAGAAAGTACTTGACAAAAGTCAGCATTCAGTAAAACTTTCCAGTGTCGAAGTGGATGGTAAATATCTCTCGAGAGAGAAAGACATCCTAGAGGCACTTAATAAGCTTTTTGTTTCAGTTGGTCCAAATTTGCACTGAACTCAGTCAGTTTTCCAACATACAGCTGAAAATAGTGTTGCCTGAAACAAGTAATATTTAAATTAAAAAATTGAAACCTAAAAATTCTAGTTTCTTCTCTGTCGTGATTTGGAAACGATTTTCCAGACGCTGTGGAGGACAACAGCAGTCAATCCTAGAACTCGGAAATAAACGTTTTGTGCCTCGGAAATGAATGAATTGAAACAATAAACTTTTGCTTGGAACACGGATGGAACTCAGTCAAAACAGCATCTGGAACTCGGAAATGAGACCATATTTGTAAGAGAGCTGTATAATGGCCCGTAGTTGATTGGCTACCTATTGTTTCTGTTCTATTGTGAAACTGCAAAACACTGAATTCGAAATGGCGACTGCAGATGTCTTATACTCACGACCATCGCAGCATTCTAGCAGATTTCTAAGCATTTGAGATAAAACCAGGAGATATCGTTAATTTTCCAGGAGTGTCAACTACCTTTGCTTTAAATTGCGGTCTTTGATGGCACGGAAAACCTATGCTCAAACGGAACATCATATTTTGATGAATAGACTGGTGTCTACAGAGGCAAAATTGCGAGCAAAACAAAATTGAAAAACTTTGCTGCGGCATCCAAAACAAACAAAGGGTATTGAGAAAGGGAGAGGGTTGAAAAAATTTTCACAGAGGCACTGTTTTTTGTCGGAAAGAAGTCTAGAATCTAGATTTTGTGAGTAGATAGTACCTACTCCCCCCCCCCTCATGGTACCAAAATGCATAAATATGAATAATAATGTTGTCTTATGCACAATGATCAATGCATTATCTGAAAGTCCCTAGCCTTGGCCTGGTTTTTTGCTAGATCCGCCCCTGAAATTCCCAGACATTTGGGAACTTGCAAGAGTAAGTCCTATATTTAAATCGAGTTCCAAAAAAGATATCAAGAATTATAGGCCAATTTCAGTTATTTCAATTTTTCCTAGGATTCTGGAGGGGATAGTTGACGATCAGTTATTTGACTTCCTTCTTGAAAATAATGTTATCACCAAGAATCAGTCGGTTTTTCGTAAACTGTACTCAACAATAACATCTTTGATATCCAGTACCAATTATTGGTATGAAAATATCGATTCCAAAAATTGACCTTGACTATCTTTCTTGACCTAAGAAAAGCATTTGATGCTGTTGACCACTCAATAATGTTAAAAAAATTGGGGAGAAACGGTATAAGAAACAAAGCTTGGAATTGGTTTCAATCCTACTTAGATCAACGGAAACAATTTTGTTCAGTTAACGGTCAGAGATCAATGACAAGCGAGGTTATGTGTGGTATACCTCAGGGCTCCTGCTTAGGCCCTCTTCTTTTTCTAGTATACCTGAGTGACCTTGAGCAATGTTTGAAATATTCACAAGCTAGTATCTATGCTGATGATACAAATGTCATGATCGTATCAAATGATGTTGAAGAGCTGGTCTTCGAGGCACAGCAGGAATTACTAAACCTCTCGGAGTGGATGAGAGTAAAAAAGTCCTAACCTTGAAAAGACTGAATATATGATAATAGGTCATTCTCGTAAAGTAAATGTGTTAAATATCTCGAGTGCGCTCAAGCTCAAGCTGATATTTAGCGTGTCACGAATCTCTAGGATTAATTGTAGATAAAACCTAAAGTGGGATGAGCGACACAAAGTTGTAAAAAGAAAAGTTTGTGGAGGACTTAGGTCACTAAAAATGTTAAAAAATATAATTCCCCATAAAGAACTTTGCAGTGTCTACTACTCCACTGTCGAAAGTCACCTACAGTATGCTAACGTTATTTGGGGCAGCCTCCGAAAAACTAAACTTGATACCCTCCAACTTGCAGGACCGCGCTCTATCAATAATTGAAAGCGCCAAATTAAAGGAAAACTGGACATGTAACTGGTTGAGCGTTGAAAATCTCATTCGATTCGATCGATCGGTCATGACGTATAAGATTATGAAGAAATTAAGCCCAGAAAGCCTTTGGCATAAATTTCAGCAAAGATCCTCGTAATCAAACTATGCAACAAGGTACTGTAGGGTTCTGAATATTCCTAGAATAAATAAAGAGCATGTGAAAAAAAGTTTTAATCACTCTGCTCTTAAAGCCTGGAACGACGTTCCAATTGATATTAGAGATCTCCCGACTATTTGTCGCTTTAAAAAACAACTAAAGGAGTACTTGAAGAGCTGACAGATTGTCTATTTAAACACGACCCCCTGGTAGAACAGTATTTTAGATTGAAATTATTATTTTTTTAATTGAACAAATGTATTTATACTTAATTGATATTGTGTTAGGGTAGCTGATAGGTTGAATCGTGTAAAAAGAAATATTGCTACTATTATTGTTGTTTGTTCTCCGCGCGTTGCGGTCATTCCACATTTTCCACATGGTTATGAAACCCGGAAAAGTTATGAAACAATAACCATTTGTTGGCGATGCTGTTATTCAAGTAGCGACTGGCACCGTAGAATCAAATTGGTGTCAGCTGATGGTGTGATCAGACCAACTTTGGACTTAAGGACTTTAAATTCGCTTTATTTGCCTTCAAACTTAGTTTTTTTTGTTCTTACTTTTATCTGCATTCAAACTTAGTTTATTTTTATCTGCGCCCAAGCTCAGTTATTTCTAAGTTTACGTCCAAGCTAGATTTCCACGTTTGTGATTTTATCAATCGACTTGATATGCATTATATCCTTCAATTTTTATGAAGAGACCTTTGATGTTGCTTATCAGCGTCAATAAATTTTAGGAAGAATTATATCAATAGTTTCTTGATGTTATACTATAGCAATACTTCTTTGATGTTATCTCTAATGATTCAACAGAAAGATTACCTTATAACGTGATCAATTCACACTAATAACAAAAACGGAAGCTAATTAACAGGACAATACGGACGTCACACTACATGTTGACAAACAATCACATTGCCATAAAAAGGCGTTCGTTAACACAACAGGACTTATCTGACCAGGTGACTTTAACACGCAACGGGAACATTACTAAACTGATTACATATAAAAGCCAAACCGTTACAATGTACTACAGTTGCTTGCAGACAATTAATCCCAACTCTTTGAACATTTCATACCTCCAGCCAAAAATTTATCTAAATAGGCTTATACTTTGTTGAAGTGTTCTAACAATTTTGGCAAGCATTGTACCATATGCTATTCATATTGAGGTAGAGAGAAATTGCTATTCATAAAGCGCTATACATGAGATAAGAGCAATTGGGGGTCATTTGTAACAGAACAACAAATGTGTTAGATATAACACAAACATAAAGTGATGCTTACTTTGTTTGCTACATCAAGAGCATCATAATCTGATGCTAGTCGGACATATGCTTTCTTTTGCCCATCAGGTTCATACTAAAAGAAACTCAAGACAATTGTTCATGTAAAATTGTTCTTGTAAAATGTGTGTATTTATGGAGTTTAGTCGAAAGTAAGCGCTTGCTTCTGAAGCAGCTGTGTGTAGCATTGAAGTGTGGTTTATGAGTGCGCCCTTAGGAAATGGATTCTTGAAATAATTCGTGTTTAGTAAGACCTCGCTTGCCTGATATCGGTACCAAACCGGCATTTAATGACTCCTTGTGATATATTTTGCTTCTATGACCCTGTTTACACTAGACCAGGCGTTTACACAGGATTCGATCCATAAGCATTTGCATTTACACGAGATCGGATCCAGATGGTGGGCACTAAATGTCATGGCCTATTTGGTGCTCATTGATATTCATGCTTGATCATGTTCAGTCTGATTGGTCTGATCGGTATCATTTGCGTTGCTTGGTGATTGCTGAAAAGTGATATCAATGTTTGCTTGGCACCAAACTTTAAATGGCTATCTGTTGCCACACAACGCAATACATATTCAAAGTATCTCGAATTGACAATTATTACTCGGGAACCGGTCCAGATCGGATCCATACGGATCACTTCTGAAACCTATCCCAAGAGTGTTCGGATAGCAGATCCAAAAGTATACGAATCCACCAGTTCCCATGTAAACGCAAGGCCTTTCCGAGCTGAATCGTATCTGCTCCCGTATAAACGGGGTCCTCCGTCTACACGAAGTCGGTACCATGCAGGTGTGATATGCGTTTCGTCAACCTTTGTGCAAAACGGCCCAGGTACAAAAAACGTGTGGTAATTTTGGTTATGCAAAAACGTACCCAAGCCTTTAAACAATTGGGAACAAAAACGAATGGTGGAGTTTAGCATGCATTTCGGTCCGGTTACAAAAACGCATGACAAATTTTGTTACACAAAAATGTACCCAAGCCTTTAAAGGCTCTTGCGCTGCCGGCATGCTTTGCGACTATAAAACCGGTCTTATACCATACTGCATTAAAATATAAAACACAGTCAACTTCTCCTCTTTTTTTTATTATTATTATTATTATCATTATTATTATTATTATTATTATTTTTATTATTATTATAATTATTATTTTCTAAATTATCATGTCATCTGACTATAACTGACTTGCCAAAAACATGGATTGTTGAAAACCTTGACAATCTTGTTACAAAATATGTCAGGCAATGGCTTGATCCTTCCAATCAGTTCTACAATCAGTTGTATCATTCTTCCTAAAAGGAGTTTTGGTCTTAACTTTCAGCTTCCATCTTGCAAATTCCTGCAGTACTAAGTCACCTATCGACGGTCTCCAAAGCACTCGAAACATGACCAAATCAAACATCTTTGGCAAAACACCTCATACGGAAAGAATATCCAACATGATCAATACATAAACACGAAAGTAGTTTTGAGAAAAATAAGAAGCCAGCACGAAGACAAAGTAAAAAACCAGCTCGCGAGCCAAGGAACTATAATCTCCTTTCTGCTAGGGAATTCTCTGAAACATTTCAATAGCCTCTGGTCGACTGCACAAAGCTCTTTGCCTAAAAACATATTTAACTTCTTGATAAGATACCTCAACAACACGCTTGCCACTAGAAATAATCTCTTTAAATGGAACTTATCTGAAACTTCCAGTTGTTCTTTTTGCCTCCTTCCAGAAACGCTGCTTTATGTCGTAGCTAGCTGTAAGACATACCTTGAAGATGGACGCTACATCTGGAGACATGACTCCGCACTAAACTTTCTGGTCAAAAACATACAGCATCTCTCCAACACATTATGTGCTAATCTTTCCTCTCAGCTTACCCCATCCATTATAACAGGTGATTCTTTGCGACCTGAGCTGCTACTGATTGCTTCAAGGAAAATCATTTACATCATTGAACTTACAGTTGGCTTTCAGACAAATCTTAATGTTAATAGTTCTCGCAAAAAAGATGTGTATAAATCTCTTTTTAAAACTCTTAGCAGTTCGTCCAAGTCCGTTAAATTTGTTAACCTCTCAATTAGTTCTCTTGGCATCTTTGGGCAATCATGCTCTACTTTCACAGATATGCTGGACGATCTCGGTGTTGAAAATTTTCTTCGTCGCTACATCTATCTTGGTTTATCAAAGGTCATAATTCGATGCAACTGCTTTATATTCTGTCGTAGAAACAAACCTTGGCCTAACCCAGAGCTTCTTTCCATCTAGCATTCTATCTCCACCTATACCACCATCACTACAATCAATATTGCCATCATCAACATCGTCGCTACTTTTGTCATCCTCATAAGCATTATCAACATCGTCACCATCATTACATCATCATGCTTATATTTATGCTGTGTACAACCGCTTTTTTTCTTTGCACTTGTAATAGTTATTTTCAATGTAAATGTGCCACATACAAACTACCTTGTAATAGTGAGGTTTGTAAGTGTTATGTTTTTCAAAATGAAATGACAACTGGTTTAGAATTAATTATTGTTATTATTATTATTATTAACAATTTCTTTTACGTTGGCAAGAAAGAACAACAAATAAATATAGCTAATAAGCTAATTTACGCCAACAAAATATTTTAAAACCTACTTTACAATGTCCATACCAAAACCTACAAAAATCTCTAGATCATTAATGAAAATTTCGCACAATCTGTAGATGCAAGCATTTCCATGCCATAATTTTATTTTTCGTTTGAACTCAACTAGTGTGTTGGAATCTTTAATTTCCCGTGGTAATGAGGACCACAAATAGTGACCTCTGTACTGAATATTCTCTATTCCGTATGTTGTCTGTCGGCACATGTTGTCTTCACTTTTGGCAACTGCAAATGATTTTCACCTCTTAGATTGTATAGAATATCTCTCTCAGTAAAAGTGTTTTTCATAAATGTTGGTTTTGATTGTTTTTTGTTTTGAATATCTCAAATCAGAATCTAAGATATAATTTACTCAGCTGGCTTTTTGATTACTTTATGGTTTAGTTGCCACCAGTAACACCATACTTCCTACGCGTATTTTGTGTTCTAAGTTAGAAAGAATGTCGAATGAGAAAGCGTATATATGTAAAATTTTCGTAAAGTCGGTTTTGAATGACACAATATTGCTGCAATATTCGGTAACTTTCTCCTCAGTAATATTCTATCTAACTGTTATCTTGCTTGCAAGAGTCTTTACAGCGCACACGTCTGATCTCTTGGCAGAACACAGTTCATTGCTAGCCAAGAGTGATACTGCGCAGGAGATTTATCAAGAAACGGACATGAAATGCATATGCGATATTTGCTTTGCTGAAAACTTAATCTGTTCGCAAATATTTTCTTAGATACCTTAAAAGGTTGTTCAACGTTGGTGCTTATCGATAAGAACATTTGCTTCCTAGACGCAAGTTAAATCAAATTGACAAGTGTCTCATTGTTTGAAGAAATGAGATTTTTTCCTCGATTTTGACCCGTGCTGTTTACATTCACTGCTGCGTCAAAGCATTCTGGTCAATATATATGTTTTATCTTCATATGTGGCTTGGACAACGGTGAATAGTATCTCTTTGCAATACAGTTGACATGCTGCTTGAAATTGGTTGTTTTCTCAGCTTACCTAAAGCTTTTTCTATTAACTTAAACGGACCACCAGAAATGCAATCAGACACTCGCCATGTATACGTTTGTTAACTGTCAGCGGATGATCCACACCTGTCGCTATTCATATTAATGCTAAATGACGACTGGGTTACGTCAGATGAATTTTGGACATTACCAATCAGGTTAGCTTCTTATTTTTTTACGGTTGAGATCGATTTTGAAAGCTGTTCTCTTGACAATTATTAATGCAAATTCTAATTTATTTATTTTTTAAAAAATCTTATCTTCTTGTTAGTCATAGATTATATTATCTCTCATTTATACTTTTTGTTTTGATCATACTGGTCTCCTGTGTAATTCAGCCAAGAATTATGATGTGTGTGTATTTTAGTATGGTAAAAACCTTTTTTCTTATCCTTTAGGATGGTGACCCAAGTATTTTGGTCCTTCACATTTACTGCTATAATTCAAATTCGTGGTTTTTCAGTGGTATGGGACACTAGTATGTATCTTTTGTCTACATTTCATAAACAAACTCTTTGACTTAACAGCTGTATTCGAGTGTTCGTTATATGAGGTGTAATCGTGATATTGTCTTTTTATGTCCAAAAAGCATGAACAGGATAAATTTCATCTTACAGTTTTTTCAGCTTTTGCCTGTTCTTTAGGACTTGAAGCTGTAGCGTAGATTAAGATCTTTATTCATTAAATTTTGTATTGTTTCAAACGCTAATGCTGGCTAATACTTTTGTCTTAGTTATTAAATCGTCAGAGCTAGCACTGTTATTCTGGTTAATAAATAGATGCTGAACAAGAAAATTGATTTTGTAACTCAATACTTTTTCCATAAGTATCAAGAAGATATCGCTTGTCTGGAGAGCAGTATATTGTGATATTTCTAAGAGTTTCATCTTGTTATAAGATTCAATGTACAGCTGCAAATTGAAGACTTTAGTAACTGCAGTAATGCTGCAGAACGAATAAGACAATGGAGCAAGACGAATATAAAGCTGTGTGTACATAGAGAAGAGATTTTTTCATTGCAGCCAAAAATCTAATTTTTAGCATCAAACTCAACATAAATCACATTTTACAGTATAAGACTGTGTGCTCGGCAACTTTCGTCACTGATCTTTATTGCAAGTGGCAACTTTTTCTAACGAGACTGATACAAAGTGTATCACTTCTCAATAATCTAACACACACAGCACGAAAGACTTTTTTTGATAGTTGAGTTATTAAATCTTGAGTCCAAACGGAATCACTCTGACCATCGGTTTGTTTTTGTTTTGAGACAGGAGCGCATTTGACTGCATGCTAGAAGATATTTTCAGAAAAATTTACCACTGCCAGAAGTGAAAACAATTTTATTTTCAATTTTGTAATATCCTTTCGTCTAGCGAATTCAAAAAAGATTATCAAGGAATGATTTATCTTGCAGCTGCAGTTTTGGAAAGCAATATATTAAAAGTTTTGAACGAAGGATTATTTTATTTAGGGACGTAGAACTATAATATTAGTGTGTTGTTTTTTGTTTGTTAAAACTTTGATAATTGTGTCATCTTTACACATCAGCTTCAGCTATTCAGTACATTCATATACCGGCCTACCTCTTATAAGAATGCCACGTGAAACTAACCTTTGCTCTCAAAGTATGTTGTCAAAACAGTGAAAGTAAAATGAATAAGGCAATTTGACGACGTTCCTTCGATAAGATATATTTGCTTGAATAACCACTGTTGATTCAGGTTGCATTCACCAATTGTTGTTTACTACTGTCCTATATTGCTTATAGTGACTGACTCGCAATATGACTTGCAAGGGTGCCGTTATTGTTCTTATAAGTAATAATAAGTATCTTTGAGTTTATTTTTTGGTAGTTTCCATTCATTAACGTTCATAAATGTTATATTTTTTAAAATATCATATTCATCGCTTCTAACAAATGAATTTTATTTCCTTGTAAAAGTAAAATAAAGCATGCCTCATTCTCTATCTCTTAAACGCTCTGTTTTTATGTTCCTAGACATGGGACAATATCCATCTGCATGGCAGACAATTTTAGGCGGTGACTACAGGCATTACAATCTGCTTGCTTTGCTTAATGTTCAGTCACTCGAAAAAGATTTTCGTTGGAGATCAAAACATCTGAATGTTGGAGATGGTGTTATCCTTGTAGAAGCCACACGATATGCAATTAATCGGGTAAACATGCTTGGCTTCCTTAGGCTGCCACTGTCGTTTCAAATAACTGATTGCAGAGAATCCCGTGCACCTTTTTCAACCTATCAAGACATCTTGGTTTTAAACGGACTGACGTCATGGCAAACGACATACTATTTGATTACGAATACGGTGGCAACTGCGCCGATGGCCAATGTGCTGGCGTCTAGTGAAGCATTTGATCATGTCATGAAGCCAGAAGTGTCAAGGAAATTTAAAATGGATGAGATACATCGTAACGTGTTTCGTACCGTCCCATCTGATGCCTTGGAGAACGAGGCTATTGTTGATATTTTAGAAAGACTGAATTGGACCTACATTTCCGTTGTCAGTTCCAATGATTTGCGCACACAGCAAACTGTGGAGAACTTTGCGGCTCTTGCGTACCAAAGAGGAATCTGTATTTCACAGACCATCTGGATTTCAGACAAGCCGAGTAGAAATGAATACGTTGATGCTGCAATCAAGTTAACAAGGGGAGACTCAGCCAAAATTGTCGTGCTTGTCACAATGTTGCATGAAGCGATGGGAGTTCTAAATGCGGTTAAAAATAATGATGGAAATTTGACTTTTATTGCTGGCACTGGCTTCCGCGCAAATTTGCATGATTTGAGAGTTAAGAAAGAATCAGTGAAAGGCTTGCTTCATTTGCAACATGCAGATACCTACGATAAAGGCTTTGAGCAATATTTTATGAATTTAAAGTTCGGCACCAACAAGTATCGTTGGTTTGGAGAATTCTGGAGCATGCTTTTCAATTGTAGCATTCCGTATAGATATAAGTCACTTAGTAGCAGTTTAAGTGACAAGAGACCTCGTTGCACTGGCATCGAAGATCTTCATGAGGTGGATGTAGATTTAAAGTATTCATTAGTCAAGCCAATTTTGAATGCTGTGGATTCATTTGGATGTGCTTTGAAAGAAAGCGAGGCACATGCTAACTGCTCAGTTACAAGCAGAACTTGTAGAGAAACTATTATGAAAAACTCTGTCAAATTCTTTGGGAAAAGAAAATGCAAACTATCTGATTCGATTGCAGTGAATGAACAAGGCTTTAACTACAAAGATTTCCTAATTTTGAACTTTAACGGCTCGATGTACAAAGAAATTGGTAAGTGGACATATGATGTAACCAGTCGAAAAAGTTCATTGAATCTATCCAGAGAGGATGTGGTATGGAGCAATGATGTTATGCCTTTGTCAACTTGCTACAAGCCCTGTCCTAATGGTTTTGTAAAAGACCGTGGCTCAGCAGGAAATATCTGTTGCTTCACTTGCTCGAAATGCGGCAAAAATGACATTGTCTCTAATGACACGTGTGTTACATGCCCTTTATATGAAGTTCCAAACTGGTCGAAAACCAGTTGTGACAAATTGCCGTCAATTTTCGTCGATTCTCAGTATGGTTACCGATTAATACTTATAATTGGAAGCACTATGGGTATTGTTTTAAACACGGTGACGATTGGTACGTTTGTTTGGTTCAGAGATCGGAAAGTAATCAAGGCAACTGGAGTAGAGCTTAGCCTGTTTATACTTGTAGCTCTGTACCTCTGCTTCGTTTGTCCGTTTGTCTTTGTCCTAAGACCATCTGTTATTGTGTGTGGAATTCAGCGATTCATCATGAGTCTGAGCCTCAATGCTAGCTACATTCCTCTGCTTTTGAAAACAAGCCGTATCTACCGCATTTTCAAGGCTTCTAAATCTCTTGTTTTAAAGCCTAGTTTTGTTAGTACAAAATCGCAGCTTTTGATATGCATTTTCATAATATGCATACAGTTATTGCTTGGCATCGTTTGGGTAGCTGGAGATAGGCCAAAGGTTCGTTTGGAAGTTAGTTCAAAGGGGAATCAGCTTAGTGTTCTTTGCAGATCTGACCCAGCCAACGCGGCTCTGAATCTTCTTCCATGCGTTGTGGTGATGGGTGCATGTACTTTTTTTGGATATAAGACTCGCAATTTCCCTTCAAATTTCAACGAGGCATTCAGCATTTCCATCACAATGTATATCAGCTGTTTCCTCTGGTCAATGTTTATCCCATTGCTGTTTCTCTTCGACTTGAAAAGAGACAATGCATTTGTTACAGCTTTTCTCACCTCGTATTTTATGATAATTCTTGGTTTGGTTATGCTGGCTGGTATTTTTGGAACTAGGATACTGAAAATTTACATGAGCAAAGATTTTACACCGGAACAAGGCCAAATGTTCCTATGGAATGTTGGAAAGACTGGTAAGCAAACAAGAAGTGATGTGGCTAGATTAGCGAAGACTGAAACAGATTTTGTAGAACTTGCTCCTGTTTTTTACAAGGATAATTTTAATGGAAAAAATGTTCAGTGCAATATAAACAATAACAGGAAAAGATGTAGTAGTTTCTAATGTTAAGAAAAGCTTCTTATTTATCTAGAAATTGTAGTATGATATTGTCTATTCGATATCTGTCGCATATTTGTTGTACAGGGTCTTAACGATTTTGGTGTATAGAATATGACGGTTTAGAGTTGATACTCCGAGTTTCATGATCAAATTTTATAATATCTAGTTGTTATGTCCCTGGAGGTATTGGCTCCTGAACCCCTTTCGATTATTTTGCTGCTCTGTTTGGCCTATAACTTTAAATTCGCTTTATCTGCCTTCAAACTTAGTTTTTTTTTGTTCTTACTTTTATCTGCATTCAAACTTAGTTTATTTTTATCTGCGCCCAAGCTCAGTTATTTCTAAGTTTACGTCCAAGCTAGATTTCCACGTTTGTGATTTTATCAATCGACTTGATATGCATTATATCCTTCAATTTTTATGAAGTGACCTTTGATGTTGCTTATCAGCGTCAATAAATTTTAGGAAGAATTCTATCAATAGTTTCTTGATGTTATACTATAGCAATACTTCTTTGATGTTATCTCTAATGATTCAACAGAAAGATTACCTTATAACGTGATCAATCCACACTAATAACATAAACGGAAGCTAATTAACAGGATAATACGGACGTCACACTACATGTTGACAAACAATCACATTGCCATAAAAAGGCGTTCGTTAGCACAACAGGACTTATCTGACCATGTGACTTTAACACGCAACGGGAACATTACTAAACTGATTACATATAAAAGCCAAACCGTTACAATGTATTACAGTTGCTTGCAGACAATTAATCCCAACTCTTTGAACATTTCTGTTGCCAATTTCATACCTCCAGCCAAAAATTTATCTAAATAGGCTTATACTTTGTTGAAGTGCTCTAACAATTTTGGCAAGCATTGTACCATATGCTATTCATATTGAGGTAGAGAGAAATTGCTATTCATAAAGCGCTATACATGAGATAAGAGCAATGGGGGTCATTTGTAACAGAACAACAAATGTGTTAGATATAACACAAACATAAAGTGATGCTTACTTTGTTTGCTACATCAAGAGCATCATAATCTGATGCCAGTCGGACATATGCTTTCTTTTACCCATCAGGTTCATACTAAAAGAAACTCAAAACAATTGTTCATGTAAAATTGTTCTTGTAAAATGTGTGTGTTTATGGAGTTTAGTCGAAAGTAAGCGCTTGCTTCTGAAGCAGCTGTGTGTAGCATTGAAGTGTGGTTTATAAGTGCGCCCTTAGGAAATGGATTCTTGAAATAATTCGTGTTTAGTAAGACCTCGCTTGCCTGATATCGGTACCAAACCGGCATTTAATGACTCCTTGTGATATATTTTGCTTCTATGACCCTGTTTACACGAGACCAGGGATTCACACAGGATTCGATCCATAAGCATTTGCGTTTACACGAGATCGGATCCAGATGGTGGGCACTAAATGTCATGGCTCATTTGGTGCTCATTGATATTCATGCTTGATCATGTTCAGTCTGATTGGTCTGATCGGTATCATTTGCGTTGCTTGGTGATTGCTGAAAAGTGATATCAATGTTTGCTTGGCACCAAACTTTCAATGGCTATCTGTTGCCACACAACGCAATACATATTCAAAGTATCTCGAATTGACAATTATTACTCGGGAACCGGTCCAGATCGGATCCATACGGATCACTTCTGAAACCTATCCCAAGAGTGTTCGGATAGCAGATCCAAAAGTATACGAATCCACCAGTTCCCATGTAAACGCATAGCCTTTCGGAGCTGGATCGTATCTGCTCCCGTATAAACGGGGTCCTCCGTCTACACGAAGTCGGTACCATGCAGGTGTGATATGCGTTGCGGTAACCTTGTGCAAAACGGCCCAGGTACAAAAAACGTGTGGTAATTTTGGTTATGCAAAAACGTACCCAAGCCTTTAAACAATTGGGAACAAAAACGAATGGTGGAGTTTAGCATGCATTTCGGTCCGGTTACAAAAACGCATGACATATTTTGTTACACAAAAATGTACCCAAGCCTTTAAAGGCTCTTGCGCTGCCGGCATGCTTTGCGACTATAAAACCGGTCTTATACCATACTGCATTAAAATACCAAACTTCTCCTCTTTTTATTATTATTATTATTATTTTTATTTATATTTTTATTATTATCATTATTTTTAATATTTTCTAAATTATCATGGCATCTGACCATAACTGACTTGCCAAAAACATGGATTGTTGAAAACCTTGACAATCTTGTTACAAAATATGTCAGGCAATGGCTTGATCCTTCCAATTGGTTCTACAATCAGTGGTATCATTCTCCCTAAAAGCAGTTTTAGTCTCAACTTTCAGCTTCCATCTTGCAAATTCCTGCAGTGCTAAGTCACCTATTGACGGTCTCTAAATCACTCGAAACATGATCAAATCAAACATCTTTGGCAAAACCCCTCATACGGAAAAAATATCCAACATGATCAATATATGAACACGAAGGCAGTTTTGAAAGATATTAGAAGCCAGCACAAAAACAAACTAAAAAACCAGCTCGCGAGCCAAGGAACTATAATCTCCTTTCTGCTAGGGAATTCTCTGAAACATTTCAATAGCCTCTGGTCGACTGCACAAAGCTCTTTGCCTAAAGACATATTCAAGTTCTCGATAAGATACCTCAACAACACGCTTGCCACTAGGAATTAATCTCTTTAAATGGAACTTATCTGAAACTTCCAGTTGTTCTTTTTGCCTCCTTCCAGAAACACTGCTTCATGTCGTAGCTGGCTGTAAGACATACCTTGAAGATAGACGCTACATCTGGAGACATAACTCCGCACTAAACTTTCTGGTCAAAAACATACAGCATCACTCCAACACATTTTTATATGCTGATCTTCCCTCTCATCTTACCCCATCCATTATAACAGGTGATTCTTTGCGACTTGACCTGCTACTGATTGCTTCAAGGAAAATCATTTACATCATTGAACTTACAGTTGGCTTTCAGACAAATCTTAATGTAAATAGTTCTCGCAAAAAAGATGTGTATAAATCTCTTTTTAAAACTTTTAGCAGTTCGTCCAAGTCCGTTAAATTTGTTAACCTCTCAATTAGTTCTCTTGGCATCTTTGGGCAATCATGCTCTATTTTCACAGATATGCTGGACGATCTCGGTGTTGAAAATTTTCTTCGTCGCTACATCTTTCTTGGTTTATCAAAGTTCATAATTCGATGCACCTGCTTTATATTCTGTCGTAGAAACAAACCTTGGCCTAACCCAGAGCTTCTTTCCATCTAGCATTCTATCTCCACCTATCCCACCATCACTACAATCAATATTGCCATCATCAACATCGTCGCTACTTTTGTCATCCTCATAAGCATTATCAACATCGTCACCATCATTACATCATCATGCTTATATTTATGCTGTGTACAACCGCTTTTTTTCTTTGCACTTGTAATAGTTATTTTCAATGTAAATGTGCCACATACAAACTACCTTGTAATAGTGAGGTTTATAAGTGTTATGTTTTTCAAAAAGAAATGACAACTGGTTTAGAATTAATTATTGTTATTATTATTATTAACAATTTCTTTTACGTTGGCAAGAAAGAACAACAAATAAATATAGCTAATAAGCTAATTAACGCCAACAAAATATTTTAAAACCTACTTTACAATGTCCATACCAAAACCTACAAAAATCTCTAGATCATTAATGAAAATTTCGCACAATCTGTAGATGCAAGTTTTTCCATGCCATAATTTTATTTTTCGTTTGAACTCAACTAGTGTGTTGGAATCTTTAATTTCCCGTGGTAATGGGGACCACAAATGGTGACCTCTGTACTGAATATTCTCTATTCCGTATGTTGTCTGTCGGCACATGTTGTCTTCACTTTTGGCAACTGCAAATGATTTTCACCTCTTAGATTGTATAGAATATCTCTCTCAGTAAAAGTGTTTTTCATAAATGTTGGATTTAGATTGTTTTTTGTTTTGAATATCTCAAATCAGAATCTAAGATATAATTTACTCAGCTGGCTTTCTGATTACTTTATGGTTTAGTTGCCACCAGTAACATCATACTTCCTACGCGTATTTTGTGTTCTAAGTTAGAAAGAATGTCGAATGAGAAAGCGTATATATTTAAAATTTTCGGTTTTGAATGACACAATATTGCTGCAATATTCGGTAACTTTCTCCTCAGTAATATTCTATCTAACTGTTATCTTGCTTGCAAGAGTCTTTACAGCGCACACGACTGATCTCTTGGCAGAACACAGTTCATTGCTAGCCAAGAGTGATACTGCGCAGGAGATTTATCAAGAAACGGACATGAAATGCTTATGCGATATTTGCTTTGCTGAAAACTTAATCTGTTCGCAAATATTTTCTTAGATACCTTAAAAGGTTGTTCAACGTTGGTGCTTATCGATAAGAACATTTGCTTCCTAGACGCAAGTTAAATCAAATTGACATGTGTCTCATTGTTTGAAGAAATGAGATTTTTTCCTCGATTTTGACCCGTGCTGTTTACATTCACTGCTGCGTCAAAGCATTCTGGTCAATATACATGTTTTATCTTCATATGTGGCTTGGACAACGGTGAATAGTATCTCTTTGCAATACAGTTGACATGCTGCTTGAAATTGGTTGTTTTCTCAGCTTACCTAAAGCTTTTTCTATTAACTTAAACGGACCACCAGAAATGCAATCAGACACTCGCCATGTATACGTTTGTTAACTGTCAGCGGATGATCCACACCTGTCGCTATTCATATTAATGCTAAATGACGACTGGGTTACGTCAGATGAATTTTGGACATTACCAATCAGGTTAGCTTCATATTTTTTTACGGTTGAGATCGATTTTTAAAGCTATTCTCTTGACAATTATTAATGCAAATTCTAATTTATTTACTTTTTAAAAAATCTTATCTTGTTAGTCATAGATTATATTATTTCTCATTAAAACTTTTTATTTTGATCATACTGGTCTCCTGTGTAATTCAGCCAAGAATTATGATATGTGTGTATTTTAGTATGGTAAAAACCTTTTTTCTTATCCTTTAGGATGGTGACCCAAGTATTTTGGTCCTTCACATTTACTGCTATAATTCAAATTCACGGTTTTTCAGTGGTATGGGACACTAGTATGTATCTTTTGTCTACATTTCATGAACAAACTCTTTGACTTAACAGCTGTATTCGAGTGTTCGTTATATGAGGTGTAATCGTGGTATTGTCTTTTTATGTCCAAAAAGCATGAACAGGGTAAATTTCATCTTACAGTTTTTTCAGCTTTTGCCTGTTCTTTAAGAATTGAAGCTGTAGCGTAGATTAAGATCTTTATTCATTAAATTTTGTATTGTTTCAAACGCTAATGCTGGCTAATACTTTTGTCTTAGTTATTAAATCGTCAGAGCTAGCACTGTTATTCTGGTTAATAAATAGATGCTGAACAAGAAAATTGATTTTGTAACTCAATACTTTTTCCATAAGTATCAAGAAGATATCGCTTGTCTGGAGAGCAGTATATTGTGATATTTCTAAGAGTTTCATCTTGTTATAAGATTCAATGTACAGCTGCAAATTGAAGACTTTAGTAACTGCAGTAATGCTGCACAACGAATAAGACAATGGAGCAAGACGAATATAAAGCTGTGTGTACATAGAGAAGAGATTTTTTCATTGCAGCCAAAAATCTAATTTTTAGCTTCAAACTCAACATAAATCACATTTTACAGTATAAGACTGTGTGCTCGGCAACTTTCGTCACTGATCTTTATTGCAAGTGGCAACTTTTTCTAACGAGACTGATACAAAGTGTATCACTTCTCAATAATCTAACACACACAGCACGAAAGACTTTTTTTGATAGTTGAGTTATTAAATCTTGAGTCCAAACGGAATCACTCTGACCATTGGTTTGATTTTGTTTTGAGACAGGAGCGCATTTGACTGCATGCTAGAAGATATTTTCAGAAAAATTTACCGCTGCCAGAAGCGAAAACAATTTTATTTTTAATTTTGTAATATCCTTTCGTCTAGCGAATTCAAAAAAGATTATCAAGGAATGATTTATCTTGCAGCTGCAGTTTTGGAAAGCAATATATTAAAAGTTTTGAACGAAGGATTATTTTATTTAGGGACGTAGAACTATAATATTAGTGTGTTGTTTTTTGTTTGTTAAAACTTTGATAATTGTGTCATCTTTACACATCAGCTTCAGCTTCAGCTATTCAGTACATTTCTATACCGGCCTACCTCTTATAAGAATGCCACGTGAAACTAACCTTTGCTCTCAAAGTATGTTGGTCAAAAACAGGAACAGTATAAAATGAATAAGGCATATGTGACGACGTCCTTCGAATAATGGATTATATTTGGGCTATGAAATAACCAACTGTAGGATTCAGTACAGTGTGCATTCCA